TTCTCAAGGAAATCTAGGGTGTACGAAGGAGAGCGAAAAGGTAAAAACGGTGGGAACTTGTTCCTCGACCTAATGCAAAAAAAAAAAATATAGAATGCCCCTTTCACGTCACCTTAATGTCGCTCATCAGGTCTGGAAAATTATCTCCGAAGATCAGCTGCAATGAGATTTGATTACTCGAGCAACTTCAAACATCCTACCGTAAAGTGACGAGTACGTGACTTCGTAGAGGAATTATTTATTGGTACCCTTTGAGGAGCGAGGCTGCGGTGCTCAGCCGATCAAATTGAGAGCCACTCGATGGTACTGCCGACTTCAGGACGGTACTCTATATCCAACTGCAAACGTCCGTAGAGACGGCGAGGTTTAACGAAGGGACGACTTCTACCTCGCAATATGGCGGCATCGAAACCAACTCGGAGAGTTCATAGCAGTCATACTTATAGGCGAGGGTACCGACGTGAACTTTGCCACGATGTTGCTCCATTATTCACGGCGTACTGAATTTCACAGTGACCGGCTAAGGAACATCTACCTCACTTCTATGCCCTATGACTGAGTAAAACGTTAAGCCACGCCTATCGAAACTTCTGCGACATATAATCGCGCCAGCTTCGGGAGATAAACGTGGAATGATATCGAGTAAAAATTTAATCATTCCTTCTTATGGTATATATCATTTCGTTTATCGTTAAAGCGGGTTAAAATTCACCGTAAATCCATTCGCGGGATATATCGAAAATCTGGGGGTTTCGCCGGCATTAATTTAGGATTTCGAACGTGACCTACATGAGAGCCTCTCGAAAATCAATATATCCAATCGGGCAGGTATATTTGAATTTATATCCGGACAGATTTAACGACCGCGGGCGAAACTGGCGAAGGAAAATCCTACATCGTTTCCTTTACCTATAAATGTCCCCCTGGAAGTCTTGGAATATCTTTTTAAATATTTCCCATAACTCCAGACCTCATAGCAATTTACCACGCCCAGTTTTGGTAACGCAATTAAACTAAAACCGAGAGGAAATAATTATTTTGTTCGAGCAAAATATCATAAATCAAGGAAATATCATTGTTCGGCACTAAATGGGTTAAGTACATGAATTCACGGAATAGAATTGACAATAGTGAGGGTTACACCCTCGGGGTCGGTATGATCGTAGAAAGGTAATTTTCCAATAATCATACGGAACATCGGATCGGTCATGAAATATGCAAAAGACTTTAGTCCCAGTCCTCGGACTTTACCACTCGCCCTACCGACGGTACAAGAAATGGATATTGCATTATAGAAGACAAGTGCAACGACACGATTTACCGAAGAAAACGTCGCGTTAAGATTTCAAAGTGCTAACGTTAATGTACTTAATGGCTAATAGTTAAATATTAAAAAATCTAAATGTCAAAGTCACGTAAAACAAAATCCCCGAATTTACTCGTAGACATATTGCAAGGTGGGGAATGATTTTACTCGCCGAGACCATTTTTCTCAATTTACCGACACGGGATTAAAAAATGCCTGGAGGGAAAAGTGGAGCCGGCGATTATTGGTTCTGTCAAGAGCACGTGGCCAAGTGCAATGACGTCACGAGGCCTCGTTAATTCCGACAGGCTTTATGCCAATTTTTAACCTGTTGGCTTCTTGACCCCAAACAACCGATACAGACGGTCGATCGATCGCAAATTTGGATACGGCTCAACTACGAAGAAATTCACCCTCGCCAATCGATCGGTTTTTCACCTCTGACTCAAGCCAAGTAATCTATACGTGCTCCAGTTTCACGGTCAAAGGCTGCTGACTTTAAAGGGAACCGTCCACGCAACGAGACCCGTGACGCGAGAAAGCGATCGAATTCGTATTTAGATTACTCATTAACATACATTAATTGCGTGACAGCTGGCAGTACTAATTCCATTGATACCCTAATGTCACGATAAAAATATATTATCTGGAATTTTGTATCGAGCCTTGCATATCCTAAAATAAATACAAAAATGTATTGCCATATCCTGTAAAAATATAGAGTTCAATTTTCTATCATCCTATCGACCCAACGAATTCTTGTAGGCGTAAATTATTTATCAATTTAAATGTTCAATGACGATGGGTAGCTTGTGAATCATTTGACACCGAGCGACGCCTCGTATACATTAATCGCGGAAGGGTGTCTTATCCTGCGGAAGCCGCCACGTGTTCTCGAGGAAGGACCTTGGGGTCGGTCGCAAGGGTCGGAATGCTCCGAATTGATAAGGCGACCTTGGCCTTCGTTGACTATCCCGGTTTACGTCAAACCCGTGGCCTTGGCCTTCGGCCGGCTCATTAGGGAGCAACGATAGCAATTTCGCGATTCGCCGAAATCCGCTCTATCCGCTTGACCGACATTCCATCTCCCATCTAATTATTAATCGTTTACTTATCGCGAAAAAAATTCGAAAGAATATCTCTTTGGTCGTGACATCACCGACTTTGACTTTAACGGTTAACCTTCAAAGCCCAAGCTTTAAGGAAATCACGATCGAACGATCTTCAATTCTGGGTAAGTTTCTACCACGTGGCAATGATTATACCCCAAATTACGTGCCGTGAAAACCCGGCCACTGAAAACATGCCCAGAGTATTATGTCCCTAATGGCTGACTATAACGCGGCTTCGTCACTGCCTGTAGAGAAGCGTTGGCTGACTCGAAAGTGAGTCACGCTCCTGGCGTGATTATTCCACCGTACAGGGGTACTAAAAAACACGCGCGTAATTTAAATCAATCAATTCCGACCGCCCATTAAATCATAAAGGGGTTGAATCATGAGTTTTAATACTCCCGAACATTTTATTTAAGCTGCTTCGTAATAACGCCGAAAAATACGGAGGGACTTAAGACGACCGTAATATATAAAGCTTATGTCTTATCCTCTTAAAAGTACTTTTTTTTTTTTGGGTCTTATTTACAGCTCTTTACGACATCCCATTTTTGGGAATTAATTCTGGCTGACTTCATCCCGACTCGCTTGCCTCGGTATTTTAATTAAGAAACGGGTGATTATAAATATGTTAAAAATCGAGGGAGGTTTAAAGAGAAAGATGTACCGAATTCGTAACGAAGGGATAGACCAAGCCGATGGTTCAGGATTCAGAAATAACCCAGTTCGTGTATAACCTTGATTCGAGGCACGCAATGCGACTCTAGAGCACGCCATGTTCTTTCGGACGGAAGTTCGGAATGAATCATGCTAATTTCACGGAATCACCCGAAGCGGCTTGGCCGAGTGTAGAGAATTTCTGATAAATCGTTTAATCGACGGTAGTCGTTACAAGGGTTCGAGAAAGAATTATCAGCCATTCCTCGGAATGGACGATCACGACCTTTCGATTTGCCAATGCAAATCGATCGCTTTTATTTCACGGTCGCCCATGAATTTTTCGTTCGTTTCGTTAAACTAGAAGAAAGAGAAAAAAAACCTCACAAAATTGCGCGACCTTAATCCCCAGCCCAATGGATTTACATTAATGAGAGCACTTTGTTGAACGATAACAATCCCGTAGTCCCGGGTCGCGTCGTTATTTTCGTTCGACTGGATTATCCGGGAATTTTCTCATTAGCCAAGAGACTTTGTCTTTGTGCAGATTGCACCTCGGTGCAAGTCCTTTCGTTCTCTCGTTGCAGGACCTCTGTACACAAAGGACGAAGGGAAGAGGGGAGGAAGCGCTGGGAAGTTGCAACGAGAGGAGAGGTGGTGGGGGTTGAAGGGTTGCGTTCAGGATATAAAGCGGGGAGGGAAGGGGGCCGGTATAAAAGTAGGGCAGTAGTGCGGTAGAGCAATCAATAGAGGCTGGACCTCGGTGGGGGTAACGTCGGAGGATGGAAATTAGGCGGCGGGGGGTGCGACGGGATTAAAAGAAATTACTGCGAATGTTGGAGAGCTTTTTTCACCCCATGATTCCCCGCTCCCGAAAAAAATGGTGTTCGCTTTAAAAATAAAAAAAAATAAATTTCATAAATATCCGCATGATTTTCTTTGTTCGATTTTTCAATTTTTTTAGACTTTTGTCTCCTATCGAGAATCGCTTTCAACTGCACAAAAGTATTTAATTTAAAACAAAAGTATTTAAAAATACTTTTGTCGATCGATGTAATGTACAGTACATTAGTCTGACATTTATTCATTTACTATAATTTTATCTCCAATTTTCTGAATCGAGATGCAAACCTTCCAACTGTTTGCATCGTACCTGACAATATTTAATAAACAATTTCACTCGCTATCAGTTATTTATGTACGCATCCTACAATTGGCGTTGCAATAACTTTTACAAAACAGCGTCATTTACCAAGAATTAAACAAAAGGCATGTATGAAAAGTGCGTAAACGCGTGTAGCTGCATAATATAGCACGTGCATCGTCGCACACGTCTCGACTACTTTGCAGAAGTCAACAAGTAATAGAAACAAAGAACGAGGTTATGACTGCGAACGAGGTTATGTCGGAAGAAGAGACACAGGTAACAGGCTTTCTCGAGTTTTTAACCATTTTACAGGCGAAAAGAATCGTGGATAATTATTTAATCAGGCTTCGAGATTGTTCGAGAATTTCGTGCTAAATTCAGGGGATAATCGGGAATCGAGAAATCGCTGGAATTCAAAGTCGAGCAACGCGTGTAACCTCCGTCTCTCGTTGAATCGCGATGACACGTTGTTACAACTGATTAGTAATAATGGGCACGTACTCACGGTTATCTAAATGTAGACCTGCAGCAAGTTGACCATTTCACGAATTTATACCTTTCTTTGGATTTCACCGCTTTTTCCCTTTTTTCACCGTTCCGCGAGCGCGTACAAACGCGTACAAGCGCGTATGAGACGCTACTGCCGCCATCTTGCGGCGAACGCTGAAATCGTCACGTGACCCCTGCAACCATTAAAATAAAGTTTTTTTATAATTATGACTTAAAAATATTACAAGGGACCAAACTGATCTATACATGTTGCATTTCTAACAAGGAATACCAAATTGTAAACATCAGTTGTATTACCTATCAGCATGTTGTGTACAGCATCAGAATGAAGGTTTCACTAAATATGAATAGCCATGAGTTTTCTAACATCATACATCTTAATATTTAAGGGGTAGAAAAAATCCATTTTATCACTACTTAATGTATTCAATTATTGCATTATGACATTATACGAAAGGGTGATGGAAAGAAGAAAATGAAACCAAAAAATTCCACCGTTTGTAAAGAAACAGAACTGATGAAAAATCTATCAAAGCTGAAATAAAAGTGTTAAAAATAAGATATATCTGTTGTCAAAGCCTTGAAAAAGAAACTGATATTTAAGAGTTAGCACTGCATTAAAAAGAGAATTATTAACAATCTCACAGGTTCTTGTTCAAGCAATTGTACTATCATTCACACGCTTTTACATTAAAAATAATGGAGATCATTTCACCATTATGCAGTCAATTAATCAAATTGATAATTGTTATATATCTCTCGAAACATGTCTCGACAGTTGATCCTAATTTTAAACTTGGCGCAGAGTAGAAATACTCCAGAAAGTTTTCGATTCAAACTGTAAATTTCCTCCGGAGGCGGACAAAGTCTATGATATATTATTGTCGGTACCAGCGTTTGTATTCTGCAAAAAATTCCAGATTACATAAGTGAATGGTTAAAAACTTCAATCACAGATGTCATTCGAAAAATTTGTAATCATACCTCTTAGTTACGTTCTGTGCTCCAAAGTCATAGAAATTCTGTTTTCCACTGAATACTTGCCCCAAAATCATGACAGCATCGACATGTGTTTGTTCCATAAGCTGTCGATAGGTAATTAATAAAAATGTTAAACTGAAGTTGTTATTATTAAACATATGAATAATATAAGGCAATTTAAAAACAATTTGTTACCTTTGATTCATAGCCGGTAAGAAATCCCATTTCTCTGGATAACACAAGGACCTTATTACGATCACCTTGACTAGCTGCATTGATTATTTCAATGTACTTATCCATGAATGTCTTATCATAACTTCGGCAAGCACCAAAGTCAAGCAATATCAACTAAATGTAAAATATAGCATTATTACATATAATGCTCTTACTAAGTTATTAATTTATCTGTTTATAAATAAGAGTTCTGACTGCACCTGTCTAGTCTCAGGGTTATAAAAAAAGTTGGACCAGTTTGGATCAGTTTGCATGTATTGAAACACAAATAGTTCCTTCAGGCAAAGTTTCATGACCAATTTACCAATGTGTTCCCGGGTCTCCATATCCATATTTGTACATTTGTCAACAGGAATGCCATCGATCAGTTCCGTAGTGAAAACTTGTTTTGTACATAGTTCATCTAGATCAAAGCAAAATCATTAGAACACTAAATAATTCTACTTATGAAAAAAGACAAGAAATGAATTTATAGAAATAGTCGAAATTGATTTGCAATATTATTGTTTTCTTTCTCTCGGTAGGGACAAAACTCATTTTAGCAACTTAAATCGAATTTAATTGGACGTCTTTACCTATAACTTTTGGTACGTAGTACTCCGGATATGGTGCTACAAGGTCTGAATACTTCTTCGAACACTCCGCTTCTCTTCGATAATCTACTTCCCATGCAAGTTCCTTCTTTGCTACTTCCACTAGATTATCAATAAACATTCCCTTTGGGAAGATGTTCCACACCTAGGTAAAAATATACTTAGCAATCACTACTCCAATAGAAAAAGCCTCGTTACAACAATGTCAAATTACTAAAACATTAGTCCCAAAACTTGTATAAAATTTAGGAATAACTTCTTTCATTGCTTTTGGCACTTGTTCACCTTCATCACTCCAACTAAGTTCTCGATGTCACTTTGGATTCCTTGCGCTACTCCTGGATATTGGATTTTCATTGCCACGCTACGGCCATCAAGTGTCGTTGCATGATGCACTTGTCCTGAAATGAATAACATAATATTCATTAATAATTCAAAAAGAAGATGTTTTATCATACCAATTGAAGCAGCAGCAAATGGCTTCTCTTCAAAATTGGCTACTTTCTTTCTCCAGTCGTGACCTAGCTCGCTAGCCAAAACTTTCTGTAAGAAATTAAAATAATTATATTTTATTATATAAATATTCTTATGTCAATCCTTGAAATAATAAGGATTTTGTGTAATTCGAAAAACTTACATGAACCTGCCAAGTTGGCATAAAGTCGGCACTCTGTCTTACTCGTTCGAAGGCTTTTTGTAATTCCGGACTTATAATGGAGTTGTCTTGGATACTCAAAATTTGGCCAATTTTTAAAGCAGCACCTATAAAAATGAATACACTCGTATCGACAAATTAATTTTTTACAGAAGCATGTGTTTCATAGAAAACACAAGTTGAGTATAGAAATTATTAATGTTTAATTACCTCTGACTTTGCACATAGTTGATACAATTCTCTCAGCATTTGCTTTCGATAGAAAGACACTATCTAAACTTTCACCAGGGCGTAGGTCACGAAGGCCAAAAGTTCTACGTGTATACTCTGCCAGAGTGCCAAGACCAAGGCCTACGCCAAGAGTGCCGAAGCTCACCATTCTCTGAATTCTTGTCGATGGTACCTTGCTCTCTCGAGCACTTGATGACAGCTTTCACACAATTCACAAAAGCTTATTTAGCCACATTTTGTTGAATCTTAAACGGTATACTATTGCCAATATTATCACTTGAATTATTTTATTGTATGAACAATAATTTGTTACCAATGTAACATTAAAAAATAGAACTTAAATTGTAATCATTAATTTAAATATTTATTCAACTATTCCTTATACGCAACACATATTTTCATTTATGCAAAACTCTTTTACTCATATATTATATTAATTCATTTATTACAAATGCAAAATATACATGTTTTAGATTTCAATATAAATATATTCTTTTAATCAAATCATTCGATTATAAACAGGGTCTAAATTCATATATAATCTTATATTTTACTCACAGATTGTCTAGGTTTAAAAGATGGTTTGCTAATTGGATTTTCTTCCACCTTTGATGTTCCCTTCTTTTCTTCATTTTTCTCTGTACTTTTTGTCGTCTTTTTTACATTCATTTTGCGTTCATGTTCAAGTTCTAATTTTCTAAGAATCTCTTTTTCCTTTTTAGAGAGTTGTATTTTCGGCACCTTCTTTTCATCCTTCGTGATCACCTCAATCTTTTCCTTTACACTTGAGAACTTTCTTGGTGTTATTTCTTCTAAATCTTCTGCAGATACTTCAACTGGGTCCTTGGCAGGATTAACTGTACGTAACACTGTGCCGTCGACTTTTCTTTCATAGTTGCGTTTTTCAGGGACTCCTAGAACTTCATTGCTCCTAACTTTTGCATATTGAGAAATACCTTTCTCGACTACCGAGAGACGTCCAATAGTTTCTTTAAATTCTGACACTAAATCGGCCTAAAGATTCGTAAATATATTTACAATGTAATAAAATGTAACACTCGGAAGACACATGCTCCATTATTAATAAAGCATGTTGTCAATTTTCACGGAACTCATACCTTACAGAAAATACAATTTAGTCATGTACTTTCATATCAACAATTATAATTATTCATGAAACTTACGGGAACCTTACTTGGATCTATGTTGCTCCACTTCTTTCCCATTTTTTGCAAGTTCTCTTCTGCCAAAACTTTTAAACTGGACCGATCGACAGTTCGTCTTATACATTCCTCCTGATGTTTTACAACAGCACTGGCCACAGTTTGTGCCCCGCGAACAACACCAAGAAAGTCCGACAGCCATGGCCGGGACATTTTAAATTTCCCTAGAGAAAAAAACCTTTTTAATGATACATAATTTTGAAAACATCTAAAAAAACTTAATAACATTAGAACACGTCATTCATTCACTGTTATTGAATGAAAAAAGTAGATTAATATACAAATACAGTAACATGTGTTTCGGAGGCTCGCATGGTTCTTACATACTTTACGAAACACATATTTATGAATACCTAATGCTTAAAACTAATCCTGCCTCAACTGACAGCTAGAATAACACACGCCACATTATTTAGAACGCATGTGAGACTAATTCAACACATTTGGAAGATACTCAAACACCTAAAATAACCTAGACCTTGAAGTTATATAAGGGAGGTTATGTACTTTAACTCGAGTGTATATACACATACAGCCACAATTTATTAACTAACTTACTAAAGATACATTTAATTAAAAACCTTACCTATTATTATTAGCAAAAATTAGATATATTACAAATTTTACATTTACACTCAACATTTAACCATGTCTGGTAACTTATCATCAGACATGATAAGTTTTGAATCGCATCAAGTAAGCAGTTCTGAAACTGGCCGCAAAATGGCCTTACCTCTGACGTCACTGCTACCGCTAATGGCGTCTGTAGATGGACGAAGACGAATTCTTTCGATTCTCCACTTTGAACGTTAATCTCTTTCGTAAGCCCTTTAAATTTCCATAAAGTTGCCGTTTCGACGAGGTACGTCACGTCGAGGTTTGAAAGTGTTCAAGAGGCGAAAGAACGCATTCCGTTTCAGGTCGTGTGCAGGTTAGCGCCTCGACGGGACGTCCCGACTTTCGGCAACTTCCGGCCGTTTTCTGACAAGTGGGTGATTGCCGCCTGACACTTTGACCGTCTCGTAATTCCGGATAAAATTTAGATCGAACCCGCGAATCGCCGCAATGATGCTTCGTTGAGTTATTCAGGGGATCTGGATCATCAATTAGGAAGGCGAAAAGCTCTCGAGGTGTATTGATGTAAAAGGTAATTCACCCGGTAAAGAGGCGTGCCGCCGGTTGAGGTTAGAATCGGGCCCTTCATCTTGAGGGTTCACCTTGCCATGCTCTCTTTTACTTGCAGGAGCCGTCGAGAGCTGGGCAGCATGATTAAAACGGAGGAAGACAACATGAGGAATTTTCAATATCCTCAGACTGTGTAAGTGAATTAAAAAGCTGCACATTTTGTACCGATCGTGAGACTCCAAAAGATCGGTCGTGTCCTCGACGAGACTCATCGGAGAACATTTTTGTTAGATTACGTTGATGCCATTTATGAAATCTTGGTTAACTTTAGTTTATTAACTATTTTTATTTTTCATTATCATTTCTTTTCCATGATATATTTAGCGTTTTATTTCGTTGATTATATTTTTGACTATGAACTCATCAAGAAATCATTGAAATAATAATTGTACGAGTTCATACTAAATAATCATTTATTAGAGTTAGCAACATTTTTAAGGTTATGATTAGTTACACCTTTTCTTCAGGGAATTCACTGGACAGGAGGACCAGCATTCGGTAGAATTGTTTAGCACCGATGTAACGGTCATTCCATCGCCTGGAGGTCATGATCATGGGAGTTCGAAAGTGAAATTGAAAAATATAGTAGATTTCACTTGGGAACATCATTTTTACACTGGTCAACTATTGGCAGTACACATGTCAGGGAAATATCTGGCATATGGAATTAAAGGTAATCCAAAGCAGGTGATGAATAATCTGATGAACTAGTGAACTTAAAAATACGTCTTCACAGCGGGAGCCGGTACTGGAGTTGTTCGGGTAGTGTACAGAGATATGGAACAGAGAGCATTACTGAGAGGAATGCGAGGTGCGATACAAGACCTGGCATTTGCTCACGTTGCTCTTGCCATGTTAGCATGTGTGGATTACTCAGGAAGTTTGTTCGTACACACCATCGTGTCGACGCCGGCTGAATTGAAGTGCTCGCTAGTATTGCAAGTAGATGCAGACGATGTGTCGTTAACAAGTAATCGAGTGATTTGGTGTCCTTATATCCCTGAGGAGGATCCATCGGATGGCGATGAGTCAAAATTACTAGTCTTAACACGAGGAGCCAAAGCTGAGCTGTGGTCAGTTGCACATGTCGCGGGAAGACTTGGACCTGGACCGTTAAAGGTATCGGGATAGTTATAGCCACATATTATATCAACCTGTAGGCATGAGCTCCTGTAAGAATATAATGTGTGCAAATATACTAATTCTCCATTTCTTTGACTATTTTCAGATAACAGATCCTGCTGTAAAAGAATGTGGTGGCATGTTAGAGATTAATCAGCATTCGGGTACCATCGTTGAAGCTACTTTCAGTCCCGATGGTACTGCCCTTGCTACGGCGAGTCTTGATGGAGAAGTGAAATTCTTTCAAGTTTACATGAACGGTAATGCGCATCATGGAGAGCAGCAACAGATCCGCTGTTTGCATCAGTGGAGGCCACATGGTGGGCGACCAATCTCTTCCTTGTTCTTTCTGGATGATCACAAAAGTTATCAGCCTGAGTCAGTATCGTGACAAGAAAATTTCTATAATTAAGTCAGTGGATCGATACTTTTATCAGATATGTAATCGATAACATTCCTCCTACACAGTGCACAATTTTGGAGGTTCGCCGTGACAGGATGTGACAACAATTCCGAATTGAAGGTTTGGTCCTGCGAATTGTGGACCTGTCTTCAGACAATTAAGTTTGCACCTTCCCCAACCACCGGGAAAACTCCTGTTTTAAAAGCAGGTTTAGATCTGAGTGCAGGATACCTCTTGCTGTCCGACATTTATAACAAGATTCTGTACATACTGAGCCTGTCAAAGGACACTGGAGAGGCCTTGGCCTGTGTCTCAACAATTTCTGAATTCCTGCTCCCCTATCCAATTCTGAGTTTCGGAATAGTGGATGCTGGTCAGCGAAGGGTTCGCCCCACTGGAGCATCTCTCGAAGACCTGTGCCCAGGGGATGAGGAACTAGACGATCAGCTTGTAATTCGGATGTATCTAGTGCAGCCTAAATCTCTGCAGGAATGTCACATAACGTTCAGGTAGATCTACACATCTTGGAAAAACTTTTGAAGTATCTATTCCTTCCCCATTGGAAACAAAAGAAATAAGTACAAGATTAGATCTACTCTACTTTAGAATTTTTTTGGCGGCCATTTTAATTGAAACTTCACTTTCAGACCTGCAGCGCAGGAGAGCGGAGGCTGTTTGATGGATACCTTGACTCATGACTCGCTGGACTATTCCGAAGACCTTCCAGACATCGGCACGGTGAATCACAATGGAATAACCTGTGAGAACGGAGAAGAGGATCGGTCAGTCTCTGCTACGATAGAAGCTGCTACCAACCACAGCGCAGGTCTGAACCTCATGACTCCGGATGCATTCAGTTCCCCAGCGAAGAAAGAGAACAGTACGCTGGATTCGAACCCTGGTAGTCCGGAGTTGGGGACAGTTTTGGCTGCTAGTCCCTCCTTGACCCAAGCGGTGCAGGCTCTGAATGCAACCGATGCACCGCTGGCAACCAGCGAGTTGGAGGAACAAGCACCTGCCAGCGGAGGAAGCAGTCCTTCGAGGGAGGTCAGAGAGATTCTGTCCCTCGCTGATCCTGAGACCGAAGAGGAACACAAGCCGGAGACCAACTCCGCAACCGACGAGGGCTGGCCCAACATCCCGATGGTCCTCCTCAAGGACGTCAGCGTGCATGCCATGCCCGAAGAATTCGCTGAAGAGGAGGACAACGAGGAGCGGAAATTCTCCAAAGAGAAGTCCACCTCCGTGGTCGATGGCATGGACACCACTTGGCAGACTACCAACGACCAGGTTACCGCTCTGACCAACAAATTGGATATTATTTTGGAAACTATCCAGGACCATCGGCAGGAGATCAAAGAACTACGAGCCGAAGTGACGAGACTGCGCCAGGAAACTCCTGTTTCCACGAGGGTCGAATCCGCTCTAGCTAGGGCTTCGCAGCAGCAAAGTGCTACCTTGGAGCAGACTCTTCATGGACAGTTGGCTCGCCAGCAGGTAGTGCATGGCTCATAACGATAAATTACAGTATAGTAAACAACCTAGTTAATGTTGACTTTTCTCAACAGGAGGTACTGACTTCGCTCGAGTCGACCATCAAGGAGCAGATCGACTCCAGTTTGCCAGCCGTCGTAGGGAACGCCTTGGAGCCCATGAAGCACCAGCTGATGATGCACGTAACTCGGGTGGACGAGCTCCTAAAAGAGAACGTCTCCAGAACGGACGACCTCCTGAAGGAGAACATGATGAAGCTTATCAACGGCGCCCACGTCAGGGATACTTTGGCCCTGGTGGCGGCAAACGCCGTGAAGCCTGCCGCAGAAGTCGCCTTCAAGGAGGTCTTCTCGAACGTTCTGTTACCTGGGATGGAGAGAGCTTGTCAGAGCATCTTCAAGCAAGTTCAGGATGTCTTCACCAGGGGCACGCGAGAATGTAAGATCAAGAACAACTCCAATCGCTCGTCTGCGACCCGATTGTTATCACGGATATATGCTTTTAGATCTCCAAAATGTTGACCTCATGACGGAGAAGCAGTGTCAGCGACGAAACGAGCAGCAAAGCGAGGCTCTGGCAGCGTCCGTTCGCGAAGAGTTACAGACGGAGCTTGCCAGGGGCTTGTCTGCTCTACAGGAAAGCACCCTAAGGACCATTCGAGACACCATGAGGGAACATCTCAGTCAACACTTGTCTGAGATCACCGGTGCACGGTGAGTGAACGAAGGGAATTGGACTCCTCGCTTCTTTTTCTCCAGCTTACAGAGCTTACAATGTATCTCGTTAACGAGAGGTTCTAATAGCTTGTTTTTCTACTTTTTCTCATATTTGTCTAAACCCTGCATGGGATCATGTTTAAAACGTTACGAGGAAATTTAATTCGAACGGTCGGATTTTTAGATCCAGAGCCACCACACCTGGGATACCTGTCCCGGCAGCTGCAGACGCGCAAGCTCGCGTCCTGTCTCTTCTTCAACGAGGCCAACTAAATGCTGCTTTCCAGCAGGCCCTTAGTGCCAGCGACCTCGGCCTCGTCGTCCTGGTCTGCGAGAGGATCGAACCCTCTCGCGTCTTCTCCTGCCCCGTTGGTCCCCAGGGCCAAGGTCAGCGATGTCTGCTGCAACAGCCTGTGATCCTCTCCCTCGTTCAGCAGCTCTCCGCTGACCTAGGGCATCGTACTGAATTGAAGCACAGGTGACTACTTAGCAAATTTATTTTTGGAGTTTCCAGCTCTCGTAGGTGTGAACGTTCACACAGAGGAAACTATGTATGATTCCCCCCGATCGACGGTTATCAAAGAAATGTTTTCAGGTGGCTGGAAGAGGCGATTTTAAACCTAGACCCCGAGGACCCGGTGACCCGAGAGCACATGGGCAACGTTCTGATGACCCTTCAGAACCAATTAGCCACTTTCGTCGCGGCGAATCCGACCCATCGGTCGGCTCGTCGAATGAAGATGCTCGCAATGGCGACCGGGGCTCTGCTGAGCCAGCATCCCTGATCGGGCGGACGAAGAAAGCCTATTTAGATTTTAGACTTAAGGCTAAACGATTCCCCGTAGTCGCCGAACGACTGGATTTTTCAACGCGAAGCAATATTCGCCAGGCGACTCGTCAAGCGCTGGTAATATTAGATCTTATCGATGACGAACGCTGACCGTTTTTGCTCCCAGTATTAACAAATGCTTCGTAGGTATTCTCCTCCACGACATATGTGACTTATGCATGTACATATACTGAAGCATTCGCTAATACTTGAAATGAAAGCGTACGTTATTTCGCTCCTTTTTTTTTCTCATTTTTTTATCTTCTACGTTGAGTCCTGCCACAAGTGTGTTCGCGCACACGTACTCTACTCTGGGGTTAAATTTTCACGTGTAAATCGGTGTACGCCGAGTATTGAATCTTCCTCTTCGGGGTGTGTATTTTTTTTTCCCCTCCCACCAGCAGAGACGGGCATTATTGGTTACGTCTAACACTGCGAAGCATTTCATCTGATTTAGTTTCATTTAATTAAACCGCCACTATTCACTCGGTAAAGTGATCCCCCATCGTTTTGTCAAGTGCAGTATTCGAGATGCAAATTCTCATCCGTTTAAACCCAGACCAAGCATCTTTATTCATGATCGATGGGATGTTAAGTGATAAAATGTTATCCGTACTGCCCGGCTCTGTTCGATCGTGGATGTCTCTACACCGAAGGTGAATGACTTTTATTGTTTTATTGGCCTCCATGTGGAAGTTCCTAATCCCGAAGAATTCAGTGTTCTCGTTGACGGTTCTAGCTTTAGGCCATTGAGGATCGTTTCGCTGAAAAGTCAGAATATACAGTAGTGAGATACTGTTGATCGAAAGGGAAGTTATATACGTGGAATACGCTTGCCCGCTCGCTCGCGCAATCGTTAGTTCGTTTTTTATTTAGCTTAATGATTTCGAGATATATTTTTTCATAACAATAAGTAACGTTTCGAGGCAAGTCAGTCTCGACGAGAAATGAGAGAACTCTGTTTTTTTCTTTTCTTTTCGGAGCATGTCCGATCAGATGGCCAAATGCCGGTTAAAAAGAAAAAGATGAAAAGACCACGACGACGACGTACACGTCGGCATGTTTTCCACCGCGAATCCGGAAATCGAAGTTTTTGGAATCTCACGGATATTTTTAATAATTCCTATTATCGTCTTGCAGTACGACGAGCAAGTATTTTCGTTTCCTTCCTTTGTTTTCGTTACTTCACGCAATGCTCAACGCGAACGACAGAACTCAGCTCCGAATCTGACAAACAATGGGTACCCTCGAGAGCAGTCAAAGTAGAGCGAATATTTTATTCTTATCAATTGAGACCTTGTATTATAAATAATAAAGTCGTTTCGTATACTCGGCTGGTCGTACTGTCCTCAATTATATAAAAGTTATTTGCCATGACGGAACTTTGGGAAATGACGAAATTATGTTTCGAAGAGTTGGGGAGAGAAAATAATTGCCGAATCTTGTTAAGATAAGTCATTTAGTAATATCTGCAATATTTACAAATGGATGTCCGTGTATTTACATCTCTAGCTGGTCTTAACTGCTTTCGGCAGTTCGGATTTCAGAACCTCCTTCACGTGTGCTGGAATTTTGACCTTCTTTCGTTTCCTGATTTTTCCACTTTCTTTGATAGTGCTTAGACTGACAAGTGTCTTTTTCTGTTTTTTCTTGCAACTCAGGGGATTAGGGCCTTTGATCTTCTTCTTTTTCTTAGGTTGCGGGTCGGCCTTTGTTAATCCGGACTGAACTTTTAGACTCTTGATAATTTCATCTTGGAAAGAATTCATCCCGACGCCTTGTCTAACTTTCTCCGCGTGTTCTTTAGTCACTCGAGATGGAGGTTCCAAAGTGGGTGCTTTCCCATGCAGATAAATAAGTGGAACGCCCGATATCTGTCTCACGCGATCTTGAAGCTCACGGTCTTGCGTGGCAATTAGGTATCTGCAATGCAAAATTCATTCTATCGACTGTATGTAAATTAACAGCAATTAATTCCATTCTTCTACCTTGAAGGATTGTCCACCTTTAACATCGACAATAAGCACTTGGAACCTGATGTCGGGTTCTTTTCATGGCCACATTTATGCACCGGAAATTGCTTTATTATCAGCATTGCTCCAAAGACCTTCGACCCTAACTTCTCCGTTTCTAGGATGACACATTGCGTAGTTAACAACTTCACCTCTGCTTGGAAATACTTAGGAAGCTGGTCCTTTATGTTGAATTTATTCTGAAAGTCAATTTATTTTTCATCCAAGATTTTACAGTGTAGAGTCTAGAGAATTTTTCTTTCTAACAAACAGTGTTACCAGTGTAAACAACCGATTTGTCAAGAAAACGTGTGTTGTCAAGTGCCACCTGTCAAACTACATTACAAAGCAGATCGAGATCTTAACAATGTAAGGGCTTCGTTAAACATTTTTTACCTCTAAAATACTATCGTTCTAAATACTGCATTAATTTAAAAGTAATTAACGTTTCGAGCCATGCAATCGTATGCAACTAGTGTAAATCTAACCTCCAAAGCGGCGAAGGAAAACGTGCCGTCCACCAAAACCTGGTACGGTTGTCGAAATTTATAGTTGTTCGTGTAAAAATTCAAGTTCTTCTGAACCTTCTTCAACCTCGAAATTTTCATTATTTATGATTTACTCTCCCCAAAATGGTATATGAAAGAATTAACGAAACCACTCGGATGGCATAACGCTCTACTGCGCATGTTCTAAGATGGCCGCCAAGAGATCGAGTTATAACTTGTGCGCGAATTTTCAATTCTCCAGACATCCTACAGAAGAAATTTAAACTCGGACCTAGCTCACATGCAATTACCAATTGTGCAACCGTTTAGTTGCGCGAGTGATTACAGAGTGTTTATATAAGTGTTCAGTCGACTAAATGGCCTGTTTTGACATAAACTAATCGATTGCAATACCTCATTGATTGATGGTCTATTGCGCACGTCAGCATGTTTTAACCATTCTAGTACTGGCATGTCAAACAACTGCGCAATTCTTGTACAACTAATAATTGCATGCACGCGTAATAACGTAACCCAAATTTTATGGCAATTTCCAAACGGAATTTTCTTTATCGAAGACAGAGAGATGAAATGTGGTACACGTGAGTATCGTGTTGCAAACGTCTTTTATTATATACATAAGCTTAGTAACATCCGTGTTAATTATAGATAGGACTTAGTTGAACGAACTTATTTACATCTCACCGTGGAAAACGCTCATTTCCATCTGTCTAACTTTTCACACTTTCTGTAAGACCGAGACGATCGATCGAAGAGCAGGATATCGTTTCCTAACCAAACTTCCGAACGCGAGTGTCACGCGTAGAAAATAATAAAGTAACATCACGTTTTCACGAATACCGGGTGGCGCACCGAAGGGCCGAAAAGTCGAGAAACTTTTTGGAAATGCAGAAACTGTATACGATGAACGAATATATACGAACACACAAGGTGGAAGCGAGAAAATGGGAAGAGCCTTGAATATACGATTCCTATCGTAGCTCGAATCACCTATACGCTGACAAGCATTGCAACAAATTACAAGAGATCTTCGCCTTATAAACAAAAGGAAAAGGATGAAATAACATCCTAAGTTGAAGTTGCGTCTCCTTCCGTCACATTTGCAATAACATTCTGCACAATCGTATCAACTCCTCCATGTCAAACAAATATCCGAAGGAAGTTATTCCACGATTTTCACTGGGAGAATATATCGTCACATCGGTGCACTGGCATCGGAACATCCCTTTGATGCAATTCAATCCAGGAATTGACAAATGAAAGGAAAAGAGACGAAACTTCCCCTTAACCCGAAGAGTCTATGCAAAAATTAAAAGGCAAACGTAGCAAGTATATCAATCCTAGAGTGGATATTCTCGAATAAATTCGACATTTGCGATTGAATACTTTCACGGTTTTTACCTAAACGGAACTCAACGTGCAGATGAACCTGAATGCATTTTTCTCATACAATTACGTAGGGAAGATATCTATGTCCGCTTAATGTACGTCCATAAGCTCGTTAATATGCGAACGTAGATACAATACATCACAAAAGTCATACGACAAGCTCGCCAGCGGGTCTGTACTTGAAACATTGTATAAAAATGTGTTAAATAGTAGGATCTCATCGAGCCTTCGGTGCATCGATGAACATTCACCCTGAGAAAAAAAAATGTCATCACTATTCAAAGAAATATTTTTTTCGTTCGATGACATTTTTTCTTTTCTCAGCGTACACTGCATACACTGAAATCGCATCTCGCGAATAGGAAGGTGGCGTGTCGCTTTTGCAAGACCCGCGAAAAGGAAAGCCATGAATTTCTAGAAAAGACTACGATCCGCACTCGTAACCTCACTTTCGGTGTAGAAACGCACCCTTAACGGACACAATTTCCGATTGCCTTCACCGATTCCGATAATATTCGTCTCAAGTGAAAGAAAAAAATGTATTGAAGCTACTTATGTATATTGAAAATCTGCCACAATGTTTTTGTGGAACTACCTGCCATGTGAAAAAAATGTTATGCTCGTCAGAGCCAAAGACTCGACGCTCGGTCGCGTGTCACGGACTTTAACATAAATGTTATCTGTCTTTAAATGGCTAAATTCGGCATTTAATACCAAAAGTGAAGTGTAAGTACGAGTCTGTTAGAATAGAATATATTCTCTCGAAAAGAGTCGGCTCAAAATCCGCTCAGGTCGAACCTTGGTCTTAAGAGCGAGCGGGCCTGTCCTGGTGGAGATTCGCCGAAACCTTTATATATCACGATCTACCGATTTCACTATCTCTCTTTGATATCGTTCGATTTTTTACGACAATTTTCCGTCTCTATTTCCGTCTCCGAGCAGTTTCAGTAGCTACACAATTTTCCTGGTCCCCAGGTCCGTCCTCGACATTTTAAGTCACGATATAAAACATTGTACAAAATGTGTGGACCAGGTTTAAGAAAAATTCACGCAGTTCCGTGAGGACGTTCAAGCGGATCAGTTTAACGCGTATCGGGTCGGGCTAGTTTCATTTCAATGAAATTCATTTCGTCCTACTCCGCCATGGTTAAAGAGTTAAAATCCATGATTTCCAAATGAAATAACTCCTCGAATAGCCACACGTGCCGATACCCCCCATTTCCCTCGTATCTCCCTAATCGGTTTCGGCGATACCCCGCACCAGGAGGTCGGCGAAGACACGTAGAAAAGGCGCTTGGAATTCTCGTTGAAATCAGTCTTGGTGGGCGACGCCGGACTCGGGGACCAGCTGGTCGTTGGCGGACCTGCCGGAGGTCCTAGGAACTCGAAGAGGCCTCGAGAGCCAGGGGTGCCGAAGGACGTCCTCGGCGCAGGGTCTCTCGGAAGGGTCCTTCCTGAGGAGCGAGCGAACCAGGCACTGGGCCCTTGGCGAGAGTCCCTCGGGAACGGCGAACTGGCCCCTGGAGATCTTGGCGAACAGGGACGCGTGTTCCGCGTCGTTGAACGGATAGCGGCCGACGAGCATCGTGTACAGGAGCACCCCCAAGGACCAAATGTCCGCAGCCTGGCCGGAATAGGCTCGACCGGATCGCAGGACCTCCGGGGCCACGTAGGCGGGACATCCTCGACGGTCCGTCAGCTTGTCGTCCTGCTCGTCCACGATCACCGCGTCCTCCAGACTCTCCAGGCGAAGCCGGGTCCTGGAAGCAGGAAATTCAAGGGATGTAGAAAACTAGCGACACTGGATAAATAACGTATTATACGTATTTTGAAATTTGTAAATCTGTACAGTTGTAAAAATGTAAATTTTGTCGGGCTCGTTCGGCACGCCCGTGGAGCTCGTCCTCAAACTTGAGCTCGGGCACCTTCCGCGGCGGCGGTATCCCCTTTTGCGCGCTCGCAACCGTAAGGCATTCAATTTAGCAAGAGACCCCGGGGATTGAGACATCGGCATAACGTTCCGTTGGTAAACCGTTTGCCAAGCCGTATGGAGCAAACGGTGCTCCCTAGAAAAGAAAGGCTCGTCCCTCCATAGCCGAGCCGCTAACTACCGACTGCTAACTACCGATCGACGTCGCAACGCGGAAGACCCGCAGCAACGTGGCCAACTACGTAATGCGCCGTTACCTAACCCGGGCCATTTTTTAATATCCCTTTGCAGGATATTCTCGCGTCCCACGATCCTGGCATTTCCAAAATTCTTGGCCGTCTCTCGAGTTCCGCAAAAATAAAAGAATTTAGGTACCACGCGTCATCTTTGGAAAAGTTCTTCATTTCTTTTATGCGGAACATTCGGAACGATCCGTTTTACGATGTCCATCGGTTTTCGGTGTTAATTCGCTTATATCTCCCTTGAAACGAAAAAAAAAAAAAAAAAAAAAAAATACAGCGATGTTCTTAAGAAAGAAGGAGACGGCATAAACGCTCTCCTCTTTCGAGAGAGCCACACGCGTTTCCTAATTACGCGAGGGTTTCAAAACCCCAGTCGATGAACCAATATGCTTTTCTGGCTTGCAACATTCTCGTCGCTGCCTCTCTCTCGCGCGGCCACTCGCGCGCATCTCGCCGTCTCTCTCCCTCTTCCGTACTCGAGGAGCTACTCGACCGGCTCGCCATCTCGCCTCTCTTTCGCTCTTTCTCTCTCTCCCCGGAGCTTGGGCAAGTGCACGGCGGATCGACGTGTCTTTCTTCCCCTCTCTTTCTCCATTTCTCTCTTAAGAGGTCAAAAAACTACGCAAACGTCGGGCCCGAAGTAGCCGTGCACCTTTGTCTCCCTTTCTCCGTCTCACTCCCGAGTAGCTACGCGTCCCATCGCCGCATCTCTCCGTCTCGCTTCGGCTTAAGTAGTCATTTGGCATACACGTATCGAGACTAGCGGAGTTCTGTCTCATTCTCCAGTAGCTACCCATTCTAGCGTCGCATTTCCCCGTCTCGTTTCGGCTTAAGTAGTTATTTAGCATACGTGTACTTTAACGACGTATCCAGATTAACGGGGGTATCCCTATCTCCCTCTCTATCAGCCGCGCCGCCTCTGGCCCTCTCTCTCCCTCTCGAGGAACTAGTTGCGCGACTTGCCGGCAGGAATGCAGGCGGCGCTCGGTTAGCCAAGCGACCGACGCACACTCCTGGCAAATCCGCAACGACCGGCGCACGCCCACCTAAGCCGGGAAGATAAGCCGGCCACCGTGTGTGGGTGTCCCGCGGGAACACACCTTGCGAATACCTTGGCGTGGTCCACGGATAACGCACGCACGCACACCTCGCGAATACACCAAGTCAGTACAGTACTCAATTTACGCGGAGTATCCGTTCCACGTGGACTCGTCTTACGCGAATGAAAGTCGCGTCGCATAGAAACTACCCGCGTAGAAATTCTCATAGAATTTACCGCGACTCCTCTCACCTGGCCTCGTCGGCGAAGACGAACTTCCGGAGCTTGAGGTCGCGAAGGACGACGCCGTTCTCGTGGCAGGCCGCCACCGCCCTGGCGATCTGCTTGAACAGCCTCCTGGCCTCGGGCTCCCTCAATCTTCTCCTTGCCCTGACGTAGGCGTGCAGGTCCCCGTGGTGGCCCTCCAGGAGGAGGTACCTCCGCCCCCTGGGGGCCTCCACCACTCCAGCCACGGGGCTCGCCGCCCCCGTGTCCTCCAGGCGTTGGTGCGCCTGGAAGAGCGCCTCGCCGCCTCTCTCGGCCACCGACAGCGCCTAAAAAAATCAAGATCAACGTTAAAATATTATTCAACGTTCAAGGCGGAGTTGCAATCGAAGTAGGAATAAAAATTAATAACTATATTGGATGGTGCCGGAAAAAAAAAAAAAACCTGCACATTTTTCTTACCAAAATATTTTCTCCCCGGGTGTAAGGTAGGATACGTGGACTCTGGGAGCCGATTCAGGAATTCTCGAGAAACCCGATCTCCCCTCGGTGGCCAGGATCATGGTCAGTGACCAAGGTCAAGATCATAACTCGCGCTCTCGATTATGCCGCCCTACGTTTCCCTTCGAGGATCCCGAGTTAGGCGAGATTCCTCCCTCCCGTTTCTCAACTACATTCCGATCGACCCGTGTCCGTATTTATTTTCCCGTAATTAGAAATAATTGCCAGACGCTGTTCTGTCGTCGAACGTATAGGTGGACTTTTCGCGTCCGTTGGTGCAGAATTGCTCGCGGTCCCATCCTCGGCGAGGATCGAGAGCTCGTCATCGTCGAGTCCGGGCGATCACGCGCGTGTCGAAACGCCGTCGAGCGTTTCGTCACCTAGACCCTCCGTTAATAAGGACACCGAATCATTTACGAAATCATATTCTCATCGTGCTCTTCGAGGTCCCGCGGCCCGAGGACGGGACAAAGAGATTCTCTAATAAATAAATAATAACCAAGATATTCCCCCGTATATTGTAAATTCCTAGATACTTTAATTCATAAAAATTAATCTAAGCCGTGAATTGATACGCGGACGGAATTAATATCAAAATATTTGGCAACTTCCGGGTACGTCAATTTTTTTTTTTCCTTCGCTTGAAAAAAGGAGATACTGGCAGTTGAGACAAATAGGAAGAAAGGGAAATAAGGGGGAAGCAGAGTTGTCGTCAGTAGGGAGGGATCCCTCGTCCGAGGAGGTTGCGAAATCGAAGACTCGGTGTACGGTGCACCCGGGACGTAATCGTCAATTAAATTAAACGTCCCTGGGATTACGGCGACGATTATAGGAACATAACGGGCACGCAGGAGTCGCGGCCGAGACGCAGCCTTGTATTTGTTCGCCCGGTGACGTAACCCGCTCATTGTATAACACCGATTGTAAAACGTTAATGGAAACCGGGCTGGGATGAGTAAAACAGTCGATGCGAGTAGAATCGAGGAATCGCCGCAAAATTGGGTTCCCACGTGTCCCCGCGATCGATCGATAATTAGGGTACAAAGTATTTAGAAATTCAGTACATAGATGCCCTCTTCCTGTACTTATAATTAAATCCCCGAAGGCAATTTTATACGAGAGATCGGAATATTCCATCGTTGACAAGGGGGAAAAAAAAAAGAGAGAAAAACATTGAACGCACGTATAATGTTTCAAGTGATATTATTTTTTTTTTTTTAACAGCGGGGAAAGCTCTCACGGAAGTTCGCGATTGCGGGTAACCACTGTCGTGGACTGGCGTGCCTGTAACATGTAGCGTGTAACGTGTAATGCACGAAACGCGGGGTGTGACCGTAGGGGACCTGGTCACTTGAGAAACTGTGGGCACGCCTGCGGAGAAGGGAAATCGCCGGGACAAGTGCACGCGGCTTTATCGAGAAACCAGGAAGAAAACGATTTATCGAAAAAAAAACGTTCAAACAAAAGTTGCCCGACACAAGAGATTGAGCAACTTTTGTTTACACCGTTTCTCGACAAATCGCACAGTTTATCAGTAATTCCCATTAATCACCGCGACGTCGGACGTAAGAGTAATCGATTCCGCGCGCTCTTTATACGCATGTGCTCGTTTATGCCGATGTGCTCCGCAGGGGAGATCGAAGGGGATCAAAGGATCGATGGATCGCTAGTCTAGGACGCAATCCGGGATTTTTTCCAGCCCGGGGATACGCGGTTTCGTGGCATCGTCCGATAACGTGTAATGGCGCGGCCTGGATAGCACGCGAGAGCCCGCGGCGAGTGTTTAGAAAGGTATGCCTTTTTTTTTTTCCCCCCTCATCGAGAAGTCGCACCCGATCGGTGTCGATGGCAAGCGATGACGATACGCCGATCCTCGAGAGACCTTTTCAAGGGGAGTCCGGACCAACAGGATGCTGGACGCGCGCTCGAAGGACGTCGAAGGCTCGGATTTCGCTCGGCTCGAGGTGGGGATTTTTTTTTTTATTTCAAGCGAGGAAAAAACTTTTAAGGCGACGCGAAAGTATCATCCGAGAGATCATAACGTTTAAGCTTTTCTGCACTACTAGTTAAAAACTCGAGTTTCCTTCGTGATTCTCCCAACCTCGAAATGACTGGCGTTAGAAGCAAAACATAGTTCCTTAAGGTGAGAATATTAATTTCTGGAGTCAGCGGCGTCGCTTAATCGCCTTAATGGGCGGCATTAATTCGGGGGAAAAGTTCTCACCTTGGCGACGAGCTGGGTCCCGGTGGTGACGTCGACGCACCTGTAGAGGGTGCTGCCTTCCGCGGGCCCCAGCAGGAGGAACCTGTCCCCCAGGATGGTCGGACCCTGGTGGGCAGGTGGTACGGGCTCGCAGCTGGGGAACAGCCCCGGAGACACGGGGGCTTCCTCGCTGGCAGCCTGTTGCGCCGGCTCCTGGCTGTTCGGGCTGACCAGGAACTTGCCATTGTTGGTCCTCGTCACTTGCAGATGCAGTGGATGCTGCTGCCTGGTGGACACTCTCATATTGCGAGCCGAGCTCGAGCTCGCAAGGCCCTACCGAGCCCCTCGTCGGCTTAAACCGCGCGACCGTATAAATATCCCCGATGGGTGGACCACAGGGGTGAAGATTAATCTAAGGCTTTCGTGGTAAATCGCAGCCGCCAGCAGCTTAGTCTGTACTCTCTTGTTCTCCCTTCTCGTTACTCAGGCACTCTTCGGGTCCCCTTCGAGATTTCTTCGGATTTCTTCCCCGTTACTCTCTTCAGGTTTTCCCTCTAGACTCCTTTTCTATTCCCTTCTGACTCTCCCAGGATACTCTTCGGAGTCTCCGCGGCTCTTCCCATGGGGTCGACTACTCCTAGTCGTTGTTTCGGCTCCTTGTCTCAGGATCCTTGGACGGAAGGTCTCATCGGACGAGTCACCCCGGATGAGCAGTCGGCTTTCTGAAAAGAACAACAGAGGTCTCAGACCGACGTGACTAAGTCGATGACACCGCGTTTCGACCACGTAAGCGATGTAACGCGTTCACGTATTCCGAGGAACCGAGGCGAAGACAGAGAGAGAGAGAGAGAAATCGCGGTGTATCATCTGTCGTGCTCTTCGAGGCATTCTTCCGCTCTTGCTCGAGTGACCGGTACGTTTTTCTCCGTATCTCTCCTCCTCGTTACCGAGGACACGTGCAGGAAGTTATACCGATAAGAGACTGGGGTCAGGTTCCCCATCTTTTTTTTTTCTTTTCGAAAAATGAAATGTCGCGATTTTCAAGACCTTCGTTGGGGCCTCCGTAATCACGTGTTAAAGTTTCACATGATTCGGTGCACCCGGTTTGAAGAAATTTATAAATACTTGGACGTTTTGATACATATGGAATGACCTTTTCATAACGCCGTAATCGATCGGAAATAATCGCCTATCGGCGTTTCTCGGGACCCCGAAACGACCTGGTCGCCGTTGGCCTCCTCCTCGCCGCACGGAGTATTAACGGCGAGATAAAAAGCCGGGAATTGAGTTTCATTGAAATTCGATGAGGTCAAGTTCCGTACGTCCGACTCGTGATTCACCGTGAATTTCAATAGCGCGCGCCTTGCGAAATCCTATTTGCGCTCTTGTGCAACCTCGCGCCGAGCACCGCGCCGCGGAGGAGGAGGGAAGTATCCTTAAGGTCAGGGTGACCGACACCGAGGCAGACGCAGAGAAGACCTCTCGAATTTCGGATGCGAAAACGCGCAAGAATTAGTCCGGACAAACTTCCCTTCGGAAATCGAGCTAAACAAAGCCGTGCCACCCGGGCAAATATTAATCCTCGATAACCTCTAATCCAAGTGACCGGGGCCACGTTTATCGCCGTATCGAAGTCCCGAACCGAGCGCCTCGGTGCGCCATCTTTGACCGGCACGGCAGGTGAACGCGCCGCCCCCTCTAGCCTAACGTCAGTCCCGGGTCTGACGAAATTCACGTCGTCGTGAATGGAAGCGGCCGTTCTCGGACGGCGACGTGACGAAATTGCGATCGGGTTCGAGCGGCCGGTAGATATCCTTCGGTAAGGTCAAAATGGCGGAGCCTTAACACCGTCTCCCCAGTCTGGCGTTTATGTTCCCTCCCGTCTCTCTCGTACCAGCTGGCGACTTAGGGTCTCTCTCTTTCTCTCTCTGCCTTACGCACACGCGTCGTCGATATTGCGAGCACCCGGCCGGGCCGTGTTACGCCTCTCCGATGTGACGCAATTCGGGCGAAATAAATTGCCAAACGCGCGCTCGTCTCGCGTAGCCCCGAGCGGTGCGCGCGCACGCATCGCCGTCGCCATCTTGCGCACACGTGCGCGCGCATGTGCGAACCTCCGCGAGTTTATTGCCAAACGAGATGACCGACTCGCTGCACAGTTTCCGATATTCTTGTATTAAGAAGGCGAGACATGGTCTGAAAATTCTACGGACAGTCATCCAGGGTTGGGTAATTTGGCGTAACGTACTTTGCGCTCGCGTAAAAAACTAGGGATGCATTTTACGTTGGAATGTACCACGTAGGAAACACGTATATTACGTGACGCATTATACCTACCCAACCCTGCAGACATCCGAGATAAATAGAGCGTTCCTCGATTGAGCAAACTAAACTAGATCTTACGGAATTGGGTAAAATTCTCTATTTTAACATCTGAAGAGAATAGAATTTTCGCTTAAGAAAGGATGGTTAATAATTCCTGTTTTAGGCACGAAGGGTCTGCCTAGTCTAGTCTAGTGTTCAAGGAATGGCAAAAAAGTTGCAATTTACAAATATACAGTATGACCTCCTTCTTTTTCTCATATTTCTGTATTTAGACAGTATTCGTAGAATTGAATCACTCGAGTTTATATCTAGAACTAAAGTGCAGGCAGATTTCGTTTTCTTGATAGTGCTCGATGACGAGTGATAAGAAAAGGCAAAGATTATGCAAACCACTCCTTTATCGAACGGTCCAAATTCCAAAGTATTGAGGTGGGTTAAGCATTTGAAATGACTTGAGAAACATTAAAGACTGCTCTTAATTTATGAGGAATCCGAATAAAAAAATGTGCCTTGTATTATAAACGGAGCTGATGTAATTCCACGAATAACGTACTCAGGGCTGAGTTAACCATCGCAATATTGAAATAAGAGAATTGCTAATAGAAAAAACACGTGTGTTGACACGATTAACACATAAAAAGTTCTAGAACAATCGAGAACTCGAATGCAAGGAAATAACGGAGTTCCTGAATAGAGCGAAAGTGACACTCAATGTTCCGGTTGAAGAAACTCTCACAATCTTCGATAGTTAAATACTGCAATCGATGCAGAAAATAGGGAGATCATACTTTAACAAGCCATGCCGCAGAAAAATAACGATACAAAGTGGAACGTCGCATCCCACAGTTCCACCTCTTCTCTATTATGAAATATTTCATACGGCTTAGTTATGCCTGCCACCCTGAATTCCTCCAAGCCGCATGTTCCAATTCCTCGCATAATTAATCCTACACATCCTAATCGCATTACTTATCCGCTCGCTTGAGGTGAAATCAAAATCGATATTAAACGGTTAACTCTATCCCTTCCATTCTCTCTTTTAGCCATCACTGGCACTTATCCTACAGTTCCTCTCTCGCACAAACGAATTCAATAAGTAACCGAACATCGACTCACTCTGGCCATTACCAGGGTCGAGTCAGCGAGAGCTATCTCCGTCCTGCTTTCTCCGCAAACATACTACTCGTGACTCCTCGGAGGCGAATCATCTCGTGGTGAGTGATCTCCCCTAGAGGCGTCCACAATTGCGCGCAATAATCACGCGCACTGCACTTTGCACCGCACAGTCGACTCCTCGGGATAGTTACCTCCACTCGCCAGTGGAAATCCAGGCGTAGGTCCGGAGTCCGCGGACAGGTGCTGGTAGGTCGTGCGGCGGGCGTAGAGCGGCGACTCTCGCCAACGGATTCGAGGCGAATCGTTGGCAGAACGGAGGGCGCGACTCGAGGTGGGACGATCTCGCGATCGGTGGATCCGCGCTACGGACGGCCCAGCGACTCGGCTGGCCTCCGCTCAGAGACGACGGCAGCTGGAGCAACCGAACGCGACCGAACGCTCCATCGTGCGCCTCTCGACTGAGCTCAACCGCGCTGACGAGGCTCGACCTGCCGAGAGCGGGCTGCGACAAGATGGCGGCCGCGCACGCGCCTTGCGCGGCAATTCGAACGTTGGAATAGTCCCTGGTGGAATGTCGAGGAACTAGAGAAATATCGAACCTGAGCTGGGGGAAATGAGGAGAAGAAAGGTGGACTCGTGGAAGCTGAAGGATTTCGGAATAAAAGGTAATGGAACGAGATGTCGCGTTGGGAAATCGGCCGGTTTTTGAAATTCGATCCCGCCGGCTCGTCGAAGCCGCGCTTCGTCAAGATGGCGGCCGCGCAGGCGCGGAAAGATGAACGGTGGAATAATCCCCGATAATCGCAGGCCGGAATGACGAGGGACCGAGAGAAGAATTGAATTTGGGCGGTGGAAAATAAGGATTAAGGGTCAACCCGTGGAAGCCTAGGGATTTCGGAATACCGGATAACGGAACGGACGCCGTTGGGAAATCGTACGGTTTTGAAATTCGATCCCCGCTCGGCGCTCGACCAATGGGAAGCGTCCAGCTCGAGTGTTGACAGAATATTCCGATGACGTTTCCGGGGATTAGAGGTTAATTAATTCCGTCGTGTGTTCAAACCTGACGTGGGTTTTTATTTCCTAGGACTAGAAAAGACGGTGTATGATATTTAAGAGGAAAATCGCAGGTAAGCAGAAGATTCCAGGGTTTGCATTAGTCAAAACTACCTGTTCACCTGCTTTGTACCCGATGAAAATTTATGCTAATCCTCGGATAAGTGCAATTTGCAGGTACGTGCCTTGGGCACCGGGAAAAGGCGGAAAGGCTGCACTTCCTTTTATTGCGAGAGATTTTCGAGGGATCGCGGGCAAAAACGTGGAAGCGGAAGCGGGCAAGAAGTTCGGCCGTCGTTTACGGTGCCCCAAGAAAGGAAGGAAAAAAGAGGCCCAGGTAACCGGAGAAAGAGAGACGAGGCAAACTTCCACACGGTTGAAGCCTCGCATCGCGTAGCGGATGTTCCAATTACACGTGGGATGCACCACCGTGAAGACGGATGTGAAACGGTCGCAGATTTACGCGGCTTCTGCGATTTACTCCTTTTTCTTTTTTTTTGTTCCGTTTTAAGAAAACGGTCTTTTGGTTTTCAAAGGAGGCGCCGCGCCTCCGCTTCCGGCGACGGCTTTATCGACCTTCGACCAGGAGTCGGCATTAGCGATATTTTCGGTAATATTTTGTAATATCGATCTTGAATTTCAAGGTAATCTTATCGATCCTGTGGGATGTGCAAGAGTGACGTCAGGTGACTCTTTCGTCGATGACCAGTTCCCTCGGTCCTCGAAGGTCGTAATTTTTAAATTTCGCATGTCAATTCGATTCCCTATCCCTTTTTGTACTCTCGGTACATAACTCCGTTCTTGACTTTTAGAGGGATCCTGCGAAGGTTACCGGATGTCGCGATGCTGAGGAGCGACGACGAGTTTCACTTTCGGATAATCCGTATTCCTTTTACGCAAGTACCTCGAAGACTGCCACTTCGGCTTAGCACTTTTTTTAGTTTAATTCCGTAATCAGTCATTCTGACTCTCGCAATATATTTATGTACATATTGCACGAAAATTATTATTTACAAGATTTATTCAAATTTCAAATTGTGAAATGATATGGACGTGAATGCCGTAAAGGATGCACTTCGCCGTGGACGTTTAATTTTTTCTACGTGGAAGAGGTTTCAAGTTTTGGAACGATCCAGGAGAGGTCACCGGACGTCGCGTCGTCAAAGAGTGACGTCTCGTTCCACTTTGGTCGATGAGCGACGCCCCGAAGAGACACCTCGGAGGTCGTCATACTCCTCTCGTTGACCGGACGCTCTTAGTCAGGGTCGATCCTATTTTTGCGAGTGCGGAGATGACGAGCATCTGCCGAAAGCGATCCGGCCCGACTCGGGAGAAAGAGGATGGAGACGCCTCGGCGAACGTCAGAGATGCCTCGGCCGCGATAACGACGTCTCTCGCTGGAACAGGATGCGAAATTCTAATCGAATCTCGCCCGACGAGTGCAAAGTTTATCTCACAATAGCGAGCCGAGCAAAGCCACCGGATGGAGGTCTGCGAGCCGACGCGTACATAGAAGAGTGCCGGTTTAACGGCCGTTCAATGGCCACTTTTCCGAGGAAACTACCCCTAATTAGGACCGACTCCCCTTTGAGGTCCTTCCCCATAAATACAGGGAAATCCATGTCACCGTTGACGTGTCCGGTTTATGCCGTCGTATGCCATTAGGACGTTTCTTGACGTTCCGTTCCGACACGTACCGACTACGTCACGTGGCGGGCCAAAAGAAAAAGAAAAATTCAATCTGAAATATACCCGGGTGTATTCGTTATCGTACCAATGTCTCGTTATCACGATTTTAATACAAGGCGATGCAGAAAGCGATTGTCTCGCGTGGATAAGATGTACAAATGTCAGGCGAATTTGCGCGTTTTGCACGAATTACATAATCTCTGGCCGTGCATTACGTGCTGAAATACACGCTTCGACTCGCCGAGATTTATCCTACGCGTTTTGCCATTGAGATTGCATCACTTGCGAATATAAAGAAGAAAGAATAAAAAAAAAAGCGAACCGACGAAATTCCCAAGTGTCAGCACCGGAATATTTTTCTCCGGCGAATCCTCGTGGGCGAATCGCATAAATTCTTCCAGGCATTCAATGATTCCGAAAGCTTTTAATCATTTCGCGTCAACGTCGCCATATCGCGTTTCTCTGGATATTGCCATGGTGAAATTACACATTACGCGGCAAGAAGTTTCGAAAGACGAAAAATGAAAAATTGTGAAAAAAAAAATTGCGCGGGTCAAACCGCCAAAGTGACACCTAAGGTGCGTCAGCGTTTCTCCGCTCGCAATCCCGTAAACGGACACGCAAGTGGGTAGGCTTACTTCCGGACTAGACTCTTCTTTTGCTGAGGTTACGCGAGTAAAATGTACCAGTGTGCGTACGTACTTGGCTCGACTGTTATCCGTCCCCGATAGGAACGAGGCAAACAGGAACTTGGACACGGAAGTGCCGTAGTGCGGCTTCGGGGTTCCACTTCCTCCGGAAGTGGCACGAATAGGACCCACGTTCTCGAAAATAGTCGGCCTCGACGAACTCATTCCCACCCAGAGAGAAAATTAGTAAAGAAAGATGTCATATTCGTTCCCTCGTAACTCGTAACGTTAAAGTGGAAAGTTTTTCCAAAGAGCTGACAATGCCGCGGCTACCTCGGCTGAATGCATCGCGCATCCCACTTGCATCCTGTTGCACATGGACATGGCGATCGCTAGTGAGAGGTTGTTCTCTGTTAGACGGCCGGTTCCCGGATGGAACCATGGAACCCTCCCATTCTGCCGGCATTCGTCAGCATCCTCTTCCTCGTCCACGCAGCTGTCCGCTGCGGGCTTGCAAATGAAAAATAGAGAATAGCCGGGAATACAGGATGTACGGCATCCTTTTCGTCGCTGCCCGTTTGGCGCTCGCCACCTCTTTTGCTCCCCTTTCGAAGCCTGGATCAAACTCGAGAGGAAATATTATGGACCACTTTGCCCGATCCTACCTTTACGGATTTACTCGTTTTCCGTTTATTTATTGCTCTCGAACTACTTGGCAGGCTCGAAATAAATTTTTTCAATCCTCCTTTTACATCAAGGTAGGGTCCAGGGAAAACATAGAAAAAATTTTGTCGTTCCATCTTCGTGAAGTTTCAAACGATCCAGTGCATCCAGTTCGCCGGAAAGTTTTATCAATAATTTGACGTTTTCATTTATAGAATGACTGGTTAAAAATCCATGGAGAAAAAAAATCGTATCCCCTGCTGTACCTCGAGTACGTCGCAACGCAACGTCGTTATTGCGCTAAGCAACGGACCGGCCGGTCTCCGATATCGAAACCATTTTTAATCGGCGCCTTTAGAGGACACTGCGCAACCGTCGAGGGCGATGACGGTCATAAGGAAGGCCACCGTCACCGACGCTGCCTCGAGCGGGTGCTGCAGCGCGTTGCAGCGAGATGCAGCAAGATGCAGCGCGCTGCGATGCAACGCGACGCAGCGCGCCGAGCAGCGGCTGCAGCAGCCTCGGCGTGGCGCAACCCGCTCTTAGGAAATAATGTGTCATTTGCGTTCGTTCTCTCGGCCGATGCAACCGACCCGGCCCAGAGGATGTACGCAGGTGCGTGCAACGCGAGGCTGATAAGAGGAACTGCCCCGGCCTCCTATCGGATGGTTTTCTCGGCATGATTGTGCAGTGACGCGTCGTTCGAGGTTTTTCTTAAGTACTTAAAGGAGTTTGTTAATTCAAATAATAATTATTTCAAGGAGATACACTCGAACGAATTGCATCCAAGAAAGGGAAACGGGATGGGCCTCTTCCTGCGGGAGGACGCGAGGGTCGATCAAGGATGCCGAGAGGAAGTCGAGGGTGATCAACCCGAGAGATTCCGACTCGGAGAACTTGACTCTTGACTTTGCGAGAAGACCGAGTTTCTTTTCACGATCGACCTCCAAACCAGCACTCGTGGTGGTAATATCCTTGTCTCGGTGACCCAGTTGCACTCATTAATTGTAGGGGAGCTCGCTAAAGTCTCGAAGTCGGGGATAAGAAGAGCGAGAATACCCTGGAGACGAAGGACGACGGTGGTCTGAATAGATTTCGAAATTCTGAAAAATTAGTCCTTTTTAGAGGGGGAATTTTTTAACCATAAAGGGAAATTTTAAACGGCAAATAACTCGGAATGGAACGCATTTTTTGACACGCTCGTGTACGCGACGTGAGTTAACGCGCGTGAGATTGCGTAACGATCGAGATCCAAGGCCTAGGATCGACTCGATCATCCGCGAAAACGATCAAGGCCTCGTAAATCTCTTTCCATCGATCGCGGTAGATCGACGAAGCCTCCGTCATTCATGTTATGCGCCTTTCTTTCCTCGTGTTCAATATCTTTAGCATTTGTCCTTTATCATTTTATCTCAATGCCCTCATTTTTTCCCGACAATCATTCAAGAGAAAATCCATCCTTATCACATAATCGAAAAAGTATCTAAAACATCCTGGAGTAATTTCCGAATTAATTCAACCCCATTCTCTTTCAATTTGTGAATTCGTTGAAAAATCGATTTTATCCATTTTCGGAGTGACCTGATAAGAGGATAAGAGGCTGCGCTGATATGAATTTCGTGACGCAAGGAGGAATTGGGACGAGGATTGCACGATCGAGGGTATTTCTTTTTTAAATAAAATTAAGAAGATCGATCGCGTGCACAATGCGAGCACGCGTTCAAGATGGCGAGGAGGTCATACGCGTATGTACATAAGGTGGTACGTCGACGGCCTTACGGCACTCTTTCAGAGTTGCGACAGAATTCATTACGAAAGCGATATCTCGCCTTTATCCGACCTCTCTCTCTTCTCGGATAATTATTTCTCTTTTCCTCCGTCTAACGCGGTCAATGCAATTTTTGAAACGGTTTGCCCAATAACTTCTCTCGTAACGACCATCGTCGAGTTATTCCTCGTTCTCCTTATCAATTGAGTTTAACGCATTAATTCAAAACGATATAATAATCGATTTTACTCATCGCCGAATATGCAGGACGGTAATCGTTAATGACAAGATTTATTTTCCAGTTAAACAATGTTTCGTATTCCGTAAAAAACTTGATTAGTCATTTGTTCATTAAGTGGATAAGAGAGGTACATTAATTCCATCGCCTCAGTTTACGATCCTCCCCATGAATGAAATGTTTATTCGCCGGTTTATTTTCGAAGCAATTTATTTGATAAACGAGAAGGCTTTCCCTCTCTTCTCTCTCTCTCCTTCTCTCTCGTCGATTAGTCAACGTCTCCTCCTCCTCCTCCTCGGAGTGATTTCGAACTATCTCAAGTTCAGTTCGCCGAATAATTAGACCGGAAACGGATACACAGAGCTCCTTAAAGCAACATCCCGGAAGTGACGTTATCTATCCGAACGTGAGACTTCCCTCGCCAAACTATAGCTAAAACGTCAACAGGTATTTGCCAAGTGACAATAAAAATGCAAATTAAGAATAATTCAACGTACAAAGTGAAAAATCAGGATACAAAGTTAAGGGCTTAACGTGTCTTTTTGTCGTTGAAATTCATCATTTGCTTGATTATTCTGTTTATCGCGAGTGGGATTTATTGCCTCTGCTTTCCCGTTTCCGAGCGTCGGTTTAAAAATAGGATATGGGGGAATGCGTGTCCCTCTGTCTCTCTTTCTGTCGTAATTTCGCAATTAATAATTGCCTCTGGGCCGGAAGTGGAGCTTCGAGCTTCTTAAAGCAGCATCCCGGAAGCGGCTCGTCTAACCAGATAGACGCGACTTCCGTTGTTAAAATACCAGAGACGTCAAGAGCCATTCCAGCAATGCAAATGAATTTTCAATAACAATTTTTCATAAATAATGCCATCGCCCTAGCGAAACCGTCGACCCGTTAACGGGTCTGATAATTGAGAATAATTCCCTGAGCGGTAATATTCTCTAATAAAAAAAATATCCCTATCCTCTCTAAAAGATAATTAATTTGATTTTTCACTTTTCAGTTCCCGTTTACATTTTGGGAATCGCGAGAAAAGATCCGGACAAGATCGGTCCTCGAGGCGGCCCGGAAGTCGCATTTGTCCTTTCGGACCAACCGCGGAATAATGGAGGAAGGTTCGTGGGGATGTTTCAATTTTCGGGATTTATTTCTACAGGCCCGGCGGTGTGCAAACAAGACGTGGGCGAGCTTTTCGAGAATCCGGCGACATTTGTAAGCCCGGCTGGAAGCCCGAGATCGGCTTAAGGGAGTCCCTTTTTTGTCGAGAGCGAGACCTCCGAGGGACTTCTGTCTGGAAATCCGGAAAAGGCGGATTTCCATGGGTGTCGGGCTCGAGGAAGGCGTTTTCTATGCGCCGGAAGTGCCGGGATCGCTTTACGGTCGACTTCCGGGCCCTCTGCCTGTCATCCGGCTTTCGGTCCCAAATAAGGCCCGCGGCCAAAATTGGGAAGAAAGGAAAACCCTCAGCTGCCTCGGAGATGGCGCCCCGAAAATATTTACCCTTTCGCTCTTCGGAAATCGGCAGGGACCCCAAAATGAATGTGCCTCTTCTCCCATAAATCCTCAGTACCCTGAGAAAATAAAAAAATTCCTTTACTCAAAGAAACACGCATTGTTACGCTAAAATCGGTGAGGGCACTTTGTCGAAATTATTCGATATTTTAAATACTCGATTAATTATCTTGGCTACGGTGGGAATTTAATTATTCTTTAATTCATTTTATTAAACCGTTTAAGAACTCCGGTTTTTTATTTGAGTCTGACGTGAGCAGGACTACATAACAAGTTATGTTTGTATGTACACAGTTAGGGGTAAACGCGTGTTCTGACATTAAAAGAAGCACGATCGTTGATTTTTAGCGACACGAGAAACACGCTTATTTTTGCGCCATTTCCGTGTTACACGTGCGTGTTCCACTTTACGCTCGACTCACGCTTTTTCTTCAAACTCCGGAAATGAGTAAAACCGTATCTGGAATGAATTGTAATTTCGGTCCAAGAAATTCATCACAGCTGCCCAGAGGAATTCGAGTCGATAAAGAATGGAGGATTAATTCATTTTCCGTCGACTCGAAATTGGTCTTTACGTGATCGAAAATTTTTCACAAAAGTCCAGGAACGAGTAAGAGTCTTTCCGGGATTAACTACGAAATTAGATCGAGAAAATCTAGGATTAGTGCAAACTCAGGTTGACCTCTTCTCGAACACCTGGAGTTTTTTTTTATCGCCAACGCATAAAAGCATTTCCGGAGCTAATTATAAAATTGGGTTCCAGAGCTGCAATACGAGGCATTTCCTGGAGGTAGCCGACGAAGCGTGAAGGCGGGGTACGAGAGAAGGAACAAGAGCGAGACCAAACGCAGCAGCCGGGGTGCATCGCGGTCTCCAGGTGCATTTCTCCTCTCCACAAGGTACACCGAGGTAAAACGGCACACGTAAGATGGTCAAAGCGATCCTCCTCGTCCAACACCTGCCTCGTCCCGCTGCATTCAGGGTGCATTGTGCACCTTGGCTCGTGCCCCAAGGCCGCGGGGTGCATCCAATTACCTGCCCTTTCTTCAGCAAAATCTCGACATTTTCCACGATTCTGGGAACCGAAGCGACTCCATTATCGATTTTCCCTGTTTCCGCCCTACCCTCCACGTTCTTGTTCTCCGGCAGACGGAGGTGTCTTTGTTCAAGAATACCATCGGCTCTTTTTTTAACGAAATTTCTTTTTGCCAGCGCTTGGGCGAGTGAAATAAATTCCTAGAGACCCTTTTGTATCGCTTTAAAAATCATCAATTTGGGGATTTCTTTCGTGGGTGTACGCAGAGGTCCGCGATTCAAGAACGGGAATGCATCGATTTCTAGTGGACACAATGCGGCCCCGAAGGCTGCGGAAATCTGGGTCGCGGACACCCGCGAATTATCCCAATCCTTCCGCTCTTGGCAAATCTCTCTCGCTCTTTCTCTCTCCCGCTGCGTCTCCGAGGGCGTCTCCGTCCCTCCGGCCGTGCCTTGTCCGCGAGTTGGCGACCCTGGTTTTTGGCGTTTTTACGACATCGCGGACCCTGACGGGAATTGACCGTCACGCCGGCAGTCGGCAGCACCGTGCCGAATTATTGCCTTCTAATATTTCAATTAATTCTCGTCAAGTATCGAAATGAAACCCGCACGATTCCTCGTTGAACTCGAGACCGTCTTACGTTTCAACCTCTCGTCGGTTTTCATCTTACGAAGTTAAGTTGCCCCAGCTCCGTAACATTATGAAACTAAAACGTGCATTGTAACCTTCTTGCAATGACCCTGCAACATTGCAGCAACGTGTCGAAATGTCTCTGCAATCGTTACCGATCTTGTGAAGTCACGTTGCAGTAACCCCGCAACGTTTCGGAATTCTTTCGAAAGCGGAAATAGCAACGTTCTGCAACGTCTTCGACACATTGCAGCAATGCCGATGTCCGTTGGATTATTGCTAATTATTTCAACCCATCCGGTCCCAAAAGCGCACCAATTCCAAAGAACAATTGCTCGAGAAGAAACGAGTCCCGGATCCAAAAAGAACATCGAGCAACATATTTAGATCGCTTACAAAACACTTTGTTAGAATGTTCACGCTTCACCCCGGAGTTCAGAATTCACGGGAAATAATAAGAAAATGATGTAAGAACATAAGATTCCATTACCACTTTCAAAGGCATTAACGCAATAACGTGTTTCTATCTCCGCGCAGAATGTCGACGCAGAAGGAAGTCGAAAGGGCGAAAAAATCGGATCCAGGAGCCAGCCGGCACGGGAATTTCATGAATTATTACCAATTCCATCCCGCGGAAGAACGAGTGCGCCAACTTCCGGGCGGCGTGTGGCGGTCCTCCTGTTCTAACCGGAAGTACGTCGGTCTGGACGTCGGCTGCAACGCCGGGGTGAGTTCCGCTCCGGGAAAGCCGCAGCTGTCGACGGAAGAGGCAGCGACCGGCGACTTCCGACGCGTCTGCGATTAGGAAACACGTATCGACTAAATTTAGAAGAGTTATCGCCTCCTCGTCGCGACGCCTCGCCGCTGCCCACTGGAAATAGACGTCGGGGACGAATTATGTTAGCTCTAGCTCCGTCGAGTGCATCTACGCGTAGAAAAGGAATACATGGAATGACCCTTTCATAACACCTTAAAATATCTCTTTTACATCACTTTAAGGTGAAATGCCCTTAACGTGAAATCCGGTTCTGCATGATTTATGGCCCAACTTTATGCCAGGAATCGCATCCATTACTTATTGCATCCATTCTGGGAGTATCAGAAATAAACTTGATACGTTTTACAGGATCTGACTTTGCTGCTTTACGACTTCCTGCGAGAGCAAGGCCACTCTGAGGTTTTCCTGCTCGGGATCGACCTGGATCCCATTTTGGTCGAAAGAGCGAAAGAGCGAAGTGCCGAAAGGAGCGAAATAGCTTTCGAGTGTCTCGACATTTTCTCCAAGAACAAGGACCAGGTCCTCGGGGAATTCCTCAAACGACTAGGAAGGACTAGCTTCGACGTGGCTTTTTGTTTCTCCATCACGATGTGGATCCACTTGAACCATGGAGACCAGGGCTTGCGAGAATTTTTCAAAGAAATTTGCAAACATTGCGACATGGTCGTCGTGGAGCCGCAGTCCTGGAAATGTTATAGAAATGCGTCCAGAAGGTTGAGAAGATCTAAAGGGGAGGACTTCCCCCTTTTAAGTTCCATAAAATATAGAGAAGACGTGGAAGATTACATCGTCGACGTCCTCAGGAACTCCTGCGGGTTCGAGGAAGTCGTCACCACCGAAGACAACAATTGGCGCCGGAAATTACTCATCTATTCCAAAAAGAATCAAGTGTAATTGTTAGAAACACGTACGCGTTAAATATTAATGAGTTTTTTGTTACACATTATCAGTTATGCTTGTGTTCAGACTAAAATATTGCGTATAAAAAGGATATTTGTACTATTTTATTTTTAGATATTCATTCATTTGCAGAGACTATTGCTTGCTTTGTGTCTAGTGAAAGAAAATGTCGGTAAGGTATATTTAAAAGACAGGAGCTAAATAATGCGAATAATCGCCGTCAGGTGGCAGCAGGGAACGCGAAGCGCGAAAATCTCAGCCAATCGCGTGGCCCCGAATAACAGGGACATAACATGAATTCGGCCAGCAAGGTGAGTAGAAACGAGTGGGATCGTGTTTCGAAGTCGTTCCCCGAGGGTTTCCCGCCAAATAGCGCAACCCGGGACGCGTACCCCACCTCCCCCCTCCGTACCCGATCCCGTGCCATGTGTGCCCCCAGACCGCCCTCGGCTAAACTACCGATGGATCCTGGAAGCGGAAGAAAGGTTAGGTTATGTGTCATTTACTTCCGCTGTTTTGGTAAAACACGAAGGCTACGGGTTCGAATATTCCAAGCGGCATTTGGGGCGACTTTTATCGCGATTTTCAGCCTCTTCTCGTTGTCGAGTGGATTTACTCGCGACGTCGGTTAGATTAGAGGTTAACCCGGATGCGCGAGTTCATTGTTCGGCTTTCTTTCAGGTCGGTGAGATCTTCACCGCCGCTGGGGCGGCTTTTAACAAGCTCGGGGAACTCACGATGCAACTGCATCCCACCACGGACTCGCCTGCCGGGTAAATTTTTCAGATTAAAACGGCTTTTGGGGTAAGCGTCATTTCCGAGCTGCCAACACTCTGCAGGTCACGTGACCCGGTGTCACTTCGGCCCGAGTAGCGCGAACCTTAAATCGGCTTGGTTGGTTTTTTCAATTAACGACTGCTACGTAGAATGATAATGTTTCGATTCAATTACTCTCATTTTGGTTTCTGTTCATTGGATATTAATATCGCTAATTTCTTCTCATTTAATCTTTCATCTTACGTGCTTGCTTGCATTGCTTTACAGTAAATGGACTGACGAGGAAATTGAGATGCTCCGTCACTCGGTGAAGACGTTCAGCGAAGACTTAAACAAAATAAGTGAGCACATCAAGGGAAGAACGGTGTAAGTTGACGTAATCGAAGCAATGGCCCCTCAATTTTCTGCGTCAGCCCTTAGAAAGCTCTCACGAAACGGATCCTTGTTTTTTTCTAGCTCTCAAATAAGAACGACATTGAAGAAAAAGGCCTTTGAGGAGGCAGGCGTCCCGATCAGGCAGCAACAAGTATTGACGCAACAACAGTCTATCCAACAGAGCTCTGTCCAACAACAGCAAGTACAGAAACAACAGCAACAAGCTGGGAATCAAGGCTTAATGGGCAAATCTGCGGAAGTTACATTAAATATGCTCAACGCGCCAGAGTCCGAGGTCGATGTCGAAGGACTGCCTGAAGAATGTCAAGTGAAATTGGAGTTCGAAGGGGCAACGGAGGAAGTTGCTTCGTAATTTTAATTGTGAATAAATTATATTGTATAAATTCCTTGTCATATCTCTAACTGTAAGTTTTCATTGTTAGCCTTAGTTTGTAACTTTTCCAAATAAAAGTTTAAGAAAGGTTTTCGTAAGTTATTGCATCTACTCCACAAACCCTATAAATATACAAATAAAATATGTAAAGGTGTTATAAGGAACTGCGCATGCGCATGCCGGGGTCGGGGACCCTATATAAGGCCGAGCGCGCGCTCGGAGCGTCATTACCCTTTGGTCATCCGAAGGGTAAACATCGGGGTACCTGCTTGGACCTTTTTTACCTTTTTTTTAACCTACGGTTAAACCTAACGGTTAACCGCAGTTTTAACCTACAGTTAACCCCAGTTTTAACCTACGGTTTAACCTAACGGTTAAAAATCAAACTTCGGTTAATTTGTGTTGTGAAACCGGGCCTTCTGGGAGACATCCCCCCTCCCTTCCGTTCACTTTCTTAATATATTTAATTTAATTTTTTACGTTTGTAACGGGCTTCGGTGCGCAGCAACCTCCACGTGGTGAGCCTGGGGGATCGGTACCATCCTTATGGGATAATACCGATTCGCGAACTAGCTGTGAAGTAGAATTTAATTAAGATAAAATTGTTCACCTCCCCGTAATTTAAATAAGGTAAGTGAAGGATAAAGTCAAAGAGGGTGCCACGAGTGCTCTTACCTTATCATCAAAAGCGAGCAGGGTCGGTAAGCGTAGGTAAGCCATCACGAGTACACAAGCCGCCAATGGCTACTAGTAGGTGGCACCGTTATCCCGAGTGCGCGAGCCCCTGCCAGAAATTCGTTGCGTCGCCCTTGGGGGCAAAAAACGGTGAAAGCTGACGTATAAAATCAGAGGGCAGCACAGGATGCGATCGCGCGACCCTGCACGTGAGCAATCTCCCAACTCAACTCTGATACGAATTTGGAATTTTACGTGATTTTTTCGTCGACGTTAAAATTGGATAAAATCCAAGTTGGCCGTTCTGGCCGTATCAGATTCTTAGATTGGCAACCCTGGATGATTCATGTGGTCGATCGGGGAGTAATTGTAGAGCGTTGGTCCAAGCTGGGCCAAGCAATGATACTTCTCGCTGTCATTAATAATTCCAACTTAGTGAAGTGGTCCAGCGTCCTTTCAAACTGTTCCGTCGAGATAATACGATGCACGCGATACTCTAAGGGCGGACGTACCTTTCACGCTCGACGTGTTTTAATGAGGTGAACGTCCCATCAAACACGATAGCAGTGTCAGTTCTTTGTGAATAACTGGAAATCGATTGAGCTATCACTGGAAATATGGAGGGTGGAGTGATCGAGAGTCCAGTGTCCTCCGTGTCCAGGACGTACAGCGATGAAGTCGCCTTGGAGGGGTTTTGCAGTCCCCGGAGACTCTTCTACAGGTTCCTGGGCCTGGCACTGATGTGTTTGCTCGGCTTCGGTATGAATTAGTCTGTCACCCAACGATAACATCTGTCCCATTGTCTGATTCTGCTTTGTAGCTTTGCGATATGACAAGCGGAGCTAGTTATTATGTCACGAGCTAAACAGATGTTTTGATAATTCCAGGGGCACCATAACAAAGCACAGAAATTGAACTTGGTTTAATCTCTGTTACTGTATAATTAAAATCTATGCCAAGTCCATGCCAAGCAACGATACCAGTTAATGGTTTAATTGCGGTTCTTTGTAACTCGTTAGTTGTGCATAAAAGTAGCGATATAAATTCCGATATAATTTCCTTTATTGCTCTATGAGATAATCAATAAAGACAGCTGAGGAAATACCAAGTAGAGATCCCCATAACTCGATTTGCATGTTTCTGCCTGTCGATGTTATGCATAATAGATGTTAAATAGAGCTTGTTAATCATGTATGTAAACTTCCATTCGTGGGGCCTGGGTCAAGCAAAAACAGGGGCTGTTATCAAATAATCGAACATGTGCTAGTTACATCTAGTTTAAAGCTGTTTCACAAAGCTTCTTCAATTCTTTCAGAGATCTCGTTGAGTTTCCCTTAATCGAGTTCGATAAGATATTGACTTTGCCAGAAGAAGTCTAAAATATAAAGGAGATTGGAATGTTTTAAGGGAAAGCTGATTAAATAAAAATGTTTCTTCAAAGTTTTATCATGAATTCTAATTAAGGAAATCTCGACCTAGTATTTCTTGGTCGCTCCGAGAAGCGACCTTCAACCCTCGTCTTATATCCAGCTATGACTTTTTTTTCTGAATCAGAGCATGGACTCTTTGTTACTTGTCCATGTATCTTGGCGCTATGCTTGTGTAAAATGGTAGTAAAGTAATTTTAAGTTATTCTATCATTCATCCAGGATGTAATAAATATGCACCCGAGAAACCTTTTCTACGTAAAATAAAAAATAAAATAAGATTTCTTAACAGTCTTGTATATAATTCAGATGTCAGTAATATATATATGACACAAAATATTAACATAAGTTTCTTCTTTTCTGTCAAGGTTCTTACTTTTGCTATGATAATCCCGGAGCACTGCTAGACAATTTTATAAAAGATCTGAATTTGACCACCACTAAACTTGCATTACTTTACTCAATTTACTCCTGGCCAAACGTGATTTTGTGTTTCATCGGAGGATTTTTACTGGATAGCTACTTTGGAATACGAATGGGAACCGTGATATACATGGGGATTACATTGATCGGGCAACTTGTCTTCGCATCTGGTGCAATCACAGATGCTTTCTGGCTCATGATGCTAGGACGATTCATCTTTGGGTAAAGAATGTTTATAATCACATCCTTGTTTCGATTTCTTTACTTATGCCAATCTGAGGAGTCTAATTTTTCTCAGGATCGGAGCAGAATCCCTGGCTGTGGCACAGAATAGCTACGCAGTCCTCTGGTTCAAAGGCAAAGAATTAAACATGGTCTTTGGACTGCAACTGAGTTTCGCCCGAGTGGGATCGACTGTTAATTTCTTGGCTATGGAACCAGTTTACAAATATGTGGCTCGATTCTACAGTGGTCCCTATTGTATCGGCATAGTGCTATTTCTTGCATCCTTAACATGTGTCGGATCTATGATCTGTGCTTGTTTACTGGCACTTATGGATCGGCGAGCAGAAAGATTATTAAGACGTGGAGAGGGCCAGGAACCTGTCAAGGTTCACCTAACGGATGCGAAAGATTTCAAAGGGCTTTTCTGGATGATATCGATAATTTGCGTGGCTTATTATGTGGTCATATTCTCTTTTCTTGCCCTTGGAAAGTAAGTATTGACGGCAAACTCAAGTTTGGTGAAAAAAGATACTACTACTACTATAAACTTTGTATAAACGAAAGGTATTCTATAGTTGTTTACTTTTCTGTTCGCAGGATGTTCTTCGAACAGAAGTACCAGTATGAACCAAGTGCAGCGAATGCTGTAAATTCCTTGGTATATACAATTTCTGCATTTGCCTCTCCGCTTTTAGGATATATTGTGGATAGGACTGGGAAAAATGTGTTCTGGGTATTTACCAGTATTTTGGGAACTATTCTTGCATATTCCTTACTGGCTTTTACGTACCTCAACCCATACATCGGTATGGCTATCACAGGATTGTCATATTCAATGTTGGCTAGCAGTTTATGGCCTCTTATTGCTTATGTCGTTCCAGAACATCAGCTCGGCACAGCTTACGGAATGTGAGTAGAATTAAAAGATTAGAGTGAATTGTCTTTAAGATAATATTTAAAGTATTATCATTTAACAGTCAGATCAAATTTTGTTTGGATTCAGTATGAAAATTTGTTCACAGTGCTCAAGCTGTGCAGAACTTGGGTTTGGCGGTAGTTTCCATTGTGTCGGGCATAATCGTCGACAAGGAAGGATATTTAGTATTGGAAATATTTTTTATCGGTTGGCTGTGGAGTAAGTTATTATCGCTTAAAATTTAACCAACCCATGTCAGTTCGTAAAGATACCAAATGTTATGAAAATGTTTTCTAATGAACAATCTTTTGCTGTCCATCAGTTGCATTGATCACATCAATGGTGATCTGGATAGTCGATGTGAGAACGAACAATGGTTATTTAAACATGACTCCTGGTCAGCGTGAGAAGTTTGAAGAAGGTCGGCAAGCCTTGGAATCTCTGGAGAGGGAAAAACTATTGTCGACAGCTTCTACTTCAGATTTATCAGCTGACGATCTTCTACAACCTCAGTCTGACATAAGAATAAGGAATCGTTACTTGGCTCGTATTGGTGCAAGGGTAAGGGTTCTACATAAATTAATTTATGATTCATATAATAGAAATTATAATTATTAGTTCTACTATTAATTGTGAGTTGTATTATATTTATGCTTCTTGATACGATGTACATCATAATGATGTGTCATTATTTTTAGATACCAGTGACGGCGAGAGCTCCTGTCTGCCGTGCGCTACGATGATGTACATTTAGCATGAATTCAACCAGGATATAATAAATTATGTTACAACATGGAAGTGTTCAGAGCAATTACACTCGCTGCACATTCTAATCGTGCAGCTAAATCTGTGATAATGTCTGAAATAGTAGAAATGAAATGGACGATCGATAAAACGTATCGTTGATATCGTGCGTAAGCATGTGACTGATATAGATCTGGCTCTCCTTAAGATGTGTATAAGTTTCTTCCAAGAAACAAATATCGAGCCTATTTATGGAGTGCATAATTTTTCTACACTTTAACTGTTACATTCTACAAAACGTATATCATGATTATCTCTCCTGCCAATACCAGTTCCACATACTGGAATATCAATGGCATGTAGATGTAGATAATAAATGACAAGTTATTAATTTTACATTGAAGAAGTTATGTACAGTCTCGAAATAATAAATATTCTCCTGTATCTGGGTTTCATTTTTTTCCTAACTCTATCGTTTAAAATTTTGCAAATTTTCGTTTTTCACAGAAGATATCAAAGTGAGAGAACATTGAGATAACCTCAAAAATCCTCTTAAAGATAAAATTTACGTTTGTGCACATAATTGTTCTGTTCAGTTACGTTCCGCACACTATCGTAAATTAATTCTATGCTATCATTTCGTAAAATAAGTTACTTAACAAATAATATGTCGGTTCCAAACCTTACATTTCGCTTAAGGCTCGCAGAGGCGCAGAGGAACACAGAGGAATGGCGATGGTGCTGACCTCTGGCTGTATACGCCGTTTCTAAATTCCGATCACTTCATATCACTTGGAACATCAGGTTCAAACAGGTTTGAACAGGTTCAAAACAGCACGTGCCGTGATCGGTTGAGTTTTCCGGTGTCCTATTGTCGGAGTTCGCGCACATTAGTGTTAATTTAATTCTTTTCTCGAGAGTTTCGACATTTTCCAAATGGGAGTACACGACAATGCGGATTCGAAGTACAGCGCGATGGGAAGCTCGGGCTTCTCGAAGCTAACCCCAAAACGGCCGACACCTGTTATTTTCGGAGAGAGCACGATGAAAGTGCCGAGGATGGACGAGAGCCAGAATGTTGGTCAGAAGGGCCCGGATAAAGTCAACTTAAGCCTCCAACAACAAAGGAAATCATTGCCTGTTTATAGACTTCGGAAAAGGTACAATTTTTCGACTTTCTGCTTTGGAGCATCCGCGTGGCTCTCGCGTTTAAACAAGATGACCGCCGATTGTTGCCGTTCGAGTCGACGCGAGGTCCACCTGCACGCGGGATGTTTAAATTCGATGTACCGATTGTGTCTCGTTAGATCGACGAGTTCCAATATTTGATGCAAAATTTCAGACTGTTGGAAGAAATTCGTCAGCATGGAACATTGGTGATCATCGGTGAGACAGGAAGTGGCAAGACAACGCAGATTCCACAATTGCTTCTCTCATCTGGCATCGCCGGTCCGAATGGGTGCATCGGAATCACACAGCCACGAAGACTAGCCGCTGTGAGCATAGCACGCAGGGTTGCCGAAGAGCAGAATGTTCAGCCCGGGAAATTAGTGGGTTATTGCGTGCGTTTTGAAGATGTAACATCACCACAGACTAGAATAAAGTATTTGACTGATGGGATGATGGTGCGGGAGGCTATGACCGATGAAATTCTATCGGACTATTCGGTGGTAATCTTGGATGAAGCTCACGAACGGTCCGTGCAAACCGATGTTCTCTTAGGCGTGGCCAGAAGGGCCCAGAATTTAAGGAAGTTGAAGAACCTGTCTCCGCTCAGGTTACTCATCATGTCTGCTACGATGGACGTTGACAAGTTCACAAAATACTTCCAAGCACCGGCTTTATATTTGGAGGGTAGACAGCACCCTGTTAAGATTTATCATGCGGTCAAGTCACAGGAGGACTACGTATTCTCAGCTCTTGTTACGATCTTTCAAATACACCGAGAGGCTGCTGCGAAGTAAGTAGCAAGTTATTATTTTCTGGTACTGTGCAAAATCACTGTGTTATGATTAACAATTAGTGATAATTTAAGAAGTGTACTAAACGTTTATGGAATATCCATTTTGATCTAGACGATACTCTATCGGAGAGCTGGGAGAGGGTTTCAGTAATTCTGTAAACTCTTTGCAGCGAAGACATTTTGGCTTTCTTAACTGGCCAGGAGGAGATCGAAGCCGCAGTGGCAGCTGCGAGACAAGTAGCGAAACAATTGGATGGGAAGGGCTATCCGCCTCTAATGATTTTTCCTCTGTATTCTGCCCTGCCGACTCATCAGCAATTACAGGCTTTCAAGCCCTCGCCCCCAGGAATGCGAAAATTGGTTCTGGCAACAAACGTTGCTGAGACATCAGTGACCATTGGAGGTGAAAATTGCTTTACCTCGATTAACTTGATTAGAAAAGTATTTATTGAATGACTTGAACTATATAAAGTATATATAGAATGACTCTTTCATATCATCCTAATGAAACGTAACTTATCGTAGGTATTAAATACGTGGTCGACACGGGGGTGGTTAAGGCGAGGACTCATCATCCTACGACAGGACTGGATGTCCTCAGGGTGGAGAAAATCGCCAAAGCTCATGCTTGGCAGAGAACGGGTCGAGCAGGAAGGGAAAGTTCAGGATACTGCTACAGAACCTATTCTAAGGACGATTTCGAGAAGATCAAGGCAATGCCCGTTCCTGAGATACAGAGGTGTTCGCTAGCCGGAGTCGCCTTGCAGCTCCTCGCAATTGGAGTTGATATCACGACCTTCGATTTCATGGATAAACCCCCGAAGGAGTCCGTCGACGTCGCTGTCGCTTGCTTAGAGAGACTCGGCGCCGTTAAAGGTAGAGAACAAGTATTCCGACCTTAAGGTAAACCTCGATCTGAAAGAACGTACTCCAAAACGTTTCTTATTCAGGGTCACCCCCGCAATTAACTACTCTTGGAAGAACGATGTCGCTGTTCCCGTTGGACCCTCGCTTTACCAAGGTGATTCTAGCATCGGTGGAACATCGTTGTCTGGAGGAAGCCCTGACCGTCGTTGCCTTACTCTCTGGAGAGTCCGTTTTCTTGGATCCACCCTCGAAAAGACAGCAGGCCTTCGCCGCGAGGTCCAGGTGAGCCGAGAAGAATTTCCAGCTTCATTTTTTATAAGATTCTACGAGATTCTATAAAATTCCATTAAATCGATGAACCAAGAAAATTCACAGAAATGCAAAAATCGAAATAAAACTCTGTCCTCAGGTTCAGTTCGGAGGAGGGCGACCACGTGACGCTGCTGAACGTCTACCGCGGCTTTCAGGGTGCATCCCAGAAGAAGGTCTGGTGCCACGAGAATTTTCTTCATCATAGGAACCTGGAGTACGCATCCGAGGTGCGTCGCCAGTTGGCTGGACTCGCGGAAAGAGCCAACCTGGAGAAGTGTAGCTGCGGAACGAGCACCGAGTCCCTGAGGAAAGCTCTCTTAGAGGGTCTCCCTGAAAATCTGGCGGAACTTCAGAGGGACCAGAGCTACATCACGGTAAGTGTTTCCCAGGATTTCCTGGCTTCCTTTTATCGCAATCCTGATAACCGATTCTTTACGTCTTCCGCAGATCAACTCCAGGCAACCCGTCGCGATACATCCGTCATCTTGCTTGCATGGAACGAAACCGCCCCTGGTGCTCTTTACGGAAGTCGTGGCTACGGGCAGGTGTTATCTTCGAGGTCTCTCCGTGATAGAGGCTTCCTGGCTCTCTGGGAAGAGCATCAACGTCCCCAGGCGCGACTGAGCGAGTCAATTTCCTCGATGGAGACGAACTTCGTGTATATAGATCCCTTATTTTATTGCGTATCCGATGTCGTCGCCATATTGGCGACCGACAATGCGGCAGAATGCTCGAAGGACGGATTTTGAGTTGAATGAATTTCAAATACTCAGTAAAGCTATTTCGAGCATTCTGGCAAGGCGATGCTTGCCGCTCGAGAAATTGTTTTTTTATTATTTGGTTTGCACCTTCTGGCGAGAGGAGTTGGTGGATAATTAAACTGGAGAGCCATGTCTAGTTATGGTTAACACGTTCCGTGCCACCTGAGGTTAATGCGTATTATCGGTGGTACACGTGGCACGGAACGTGTTAACAGTCACTTTTCACTTGACGGTTTAGGTAGATAAAGTGTAATTATTTTCTTCATATCATGTGCTACTCCAATATCGGCGATACGATATGTGTATAATATGTTCAAAGCTACGAAAAGAAATCACCGTCGATACTTTTTATGGACGTTACGGGGGTAAGTAGGTGATTCTACGGGCTCCAACGTGATAAAGGAACAGGAACGCTCCTCTCGCCCGCGATTTCGAGGGCGCACCTCCCAACAGGTGGCCACCCCCGAATCGAGAAGAACCCTCAATCGGGGGAACCCGGGGTCTAGCTTTTCGTTTTTCACGCACCCCTTTGTCAGCCCGCGGATTCCCGCGAGCTCGATTTACCTCGAGCCTTTGTCCCCCGCCATAATTATTTCATTAACGCCGCAGTTAACTCCCGGGATAAGCATCCGTACGCATTCTCTTTCGCCGCAAAATGGAGAGCGCTTTTTTCCCTCGTTATTTCGGCTAACGTAAGCTTCTCGACTTTTAGAGCGAGCAGGGAATTCCTGGCATTTTTTAACCGCGGTTTAGGGACGGGGGAAATAGAAGTAGTTCTCACTTTGCAAATTCCCGGTTCATCCGTTTTTTTAACTTTGCACATTCATAGTTTATTCGCGAATTTTCTAAATTACCAATTAAATTGTGGAGAAGAAATTGAAAATTAATTTACAGAGTTTACGTTACGATAAAGTGGTTTCTAAACGGAAGGCAATTAATTTTTGGGGATTCTCTTCGCATTTCCGGAGAGCGGATGAAAAAGGGGCTTTCTTTTCCGCGGAATGGGTCCATTACCGGCCCCTCTCCCAAATCATGATTATTTCATTACAGCGAGTTACGTCGTTACGTCCCCGCTGTACATTAGCCAGGTGTATCCCCGGCTGTCTTCCACTAATTACTGCCGCGGAAAGGAAACATTCATTTTTGCATTTAACGCCTTAAATAACCCGCTGGGAATTTAATCCTCCCTTTAATGAAAAGTTACTGCCGATGTACAGGGAAGAATCACAAATCTTGGGCGAAAGTCCCTAATTAAGTGATTAAATGAGAATTATTCGAAGAAAAGCAGTACGGCGGGGGAATTATAGGGAACAATTCGTAGGATGGATTCTGGCCGGGTTTTTCAATCAGTGCGGGGTAAATCCGCCACGTTTTCCTCGGCAAATCGTAATCGAATTTGGCATTGTCAATTGGTCCCTTTAACCGCCTAGGAGTAACTTACTTTCGTTAATTACGTTTCCCTCGGGGCCGCTCGAACTTCGACGTCGAAGAAGGTCGGGCGAAATGAAGTTTCATTCTTGGAGGCCACTCGAGCTTCTTCTAACGAGCTTAGGTTGGTACCTCGGCAAGGTCTAGGTCTTTCGCCAAGAGAATTACCCCGAAGTTTCGTTTTCCCTCCCGAGCTCGCTGCTTTCCGCTTCCAGGGTGATTTTCCCTCGCCGCTAAGCCGAGCTTGATGAGGAGGGAGGAATTTATTCCTCATCGGAAACTCCGGGGAGGTTTCATCAGAAAAACACCCCCTGGAAACGGTTAAGGGATAAATAAAAGGTCGAAGCAATAAGTCGAAAAAAATTACCCTCGAGTAATTTTGGCCGGAAAAACTCGAATGAAATTAGCGGCAATATGTCTGCGAAAGGAAAAAAAGGAAAACGTACAACCTTTCCTATCGATATTTATTTATTATCCAAATTTGCAGGACATGTCCTTGTGATTTTTAACCGTTGCCATTTTAACGACCACCAGGGTATTATTAAAATTTTAGAAGGATCTTGACAACCGCTTAAGTAAATTAACACGTTTCGCCCGGCCTTAAATGTTCCCGGCGCAATTCGTAAGAATTCTAAATGACCGGCGAAAAATGGCAGAAATAGGAGAGCAATCGCGTTACGCTATGGTCGAATTTGCATGAAGTGCCTCGTTTCGTCGTTGATTTACCATTTCTCTCGTCTGTGCAAGGCGGGCTTCGTCTCTTGGCCAGGAAACCGAGCTCGGCGATCCAGGGAAGTTTCGTTCTTCGGCGGGGCTCCGGGACGAGATTATAGGCTCTACGAAGACTGCCCTGATAACTTTATTCCCTCTCGTTCCAACCCCGAGTTCTCCGAGCACCTCGGCCACGATACCGAGGGAATTAAATTCCACGGTTGGCCATTAACTCGGATCGAGTTTGGGGGGGATCACCGAAATCCTGGCGCAGTCCTGTAACTACGCGCCAGATATCGGGATATCTCGGGACCGCCGAAATCCTTATTTGCTCCGAAATACTCCGATACGGTGGGAAGTCGATCACGGAGAGATCGACTCGGTCTTTGGAAGGAAAACCCGCAGAGGGTTATTCTTGACGTGCGATATCCACTCCCGTAATGCGCCACGGGCCGCCATCTTGATTTCCGACGCGATACGTCCATTCTAAGGATTTACGAGTTGTGGAATTATTTTATCGTATTTAAAGCCTACAATTAGAGGCTCTCGTTAGGATAAAAATGTCGACTCGGGTCAGGCTGCCATTTTTCGGATAACGAGAGCGCGTCTGGAGGCTTTTTATCGGCTCGATAAATCGACTCGGTTAATGCGCATCCCTGACAGAATTACTCGCGCCTCCGGCAAAGGGAAATCGCGCCGGGAACGCGAGTGCGGCCGCGGAAACGTAAATACAAATTAAAGAACTAACGAGATACCCTGAAATGTCCGGAGCCGTTTACGCGGACGCGAAAAGTGGCCTTCCCCCTTTTCCTCGGGAAAAATATCTCCCTTCGTTAGCGAAGAACTCCCGGGAAAGCTCGACGAGGACTCGCCGAGGCGAACTTTTGGAAGTATTCCACTCGTCAAAGCTTTGGATCTTCTTTTACCCCCTCGAAAAATATATTCGGAGTGTCTCGATTTTTCCCGTCTGGCAATCTTACCCAGGGACGCTTTATCTCCAGTCTTAGAATTTGACGATCGCCTTTAAAGGATGGAATCCATCTTGCGGTTATCTTTCGGATCTACTCGCGACATATCCCGATTTTCCCTCCTCCAGTTCTCGGTGAATGCACTTCCGCGAGTGTAGGAACGACACAGATGCCATAAATCGTAACTTCCCCTCTGGAACCTTCCTTGAAAAGCGCGGCGATAGGGTTTAAGTCCTCTTGAAAGGGAGCCAGTTTCCTCGAACCTCGAGGAAGGATTTCGTTCGATTCGAACGCGAGAAATTATGCTATTTTTCATCCACGGGATGAGCGCCTGTGATTAATGCCTCGCGAAATGTAATTTCGGATTAAATTATGAGAGACATAGAGGACACATTTTCCTGCCCAGAAATGCGATTACATGAAGCGCGACTTAACGCCGCACGTTTAGTACGCAGGTAAATAATAAAGTACTAGGGTAGGAGATTTAATCCGCCGCCATTTTCGTATCTCTCGAAAATATACGCAAGGAGTAAATGTTACCGCACTGTGCAGTGAAACACGTAAAACACGGAAACGTAAGGATTTTTAAGAGGAATAACTGTCCCGAGGATGATGGAAATCTCTGCACTCGCCGTAAAGTGCAACTCGTGAGTGGCAATTAATTCCCTTTACGCGGTCATTTTTCCCGAAAATTCCCTAGGGGCCGCTTCTCGCTAGGCGGGCTAAAAATTACCGTTTCATTTTCTCCGCGCATGTCGTGATAATTAGACTCGTGTCGAAAAAAAAGGCCGTGCCATAAAAACTAGACATAGGTTTATTGCAAAACCCACTTTCCGCTTAATTAATGAGAGCCCGGCCGGTCTTCTTTCCGTGGGAAGAAACCCAGTATTTTTCACGATCACTATATTACCCATTATCTTTATTCCATAACAAAGTATTAGGTTGAGGGATAACACGAAAACGTTAGTAAGAAAACAATTTAAGTATGGTCCATACGCCGTGAACGCGAGGTTTACCTCTACGCTTCCTCTCCATTAGAACCAGGCTTATACCAAAAAATGGACTTAAACGGTTCTTTCTGCTTCCTGAAAACCGGGCATATACCGTAAAAAGCACTTTCCGCTCCGTGAAAACCAGGCAAGCCGCTTTTCTGGCGAAGAAAAGTGCTATTTCCAGTCTCATCAAGCAGTGTGTACCGTTCTCCAAGATGGCGGCCGGTCGGTCGCGTCTTAGCCGGTCCATAAAGCCCGCGGAACAAACCACGGCCGATAGGCAGTAATTTTCCCTGAAAGGAGTCGGTTTCCTCGCCGGCCGATACGTTTGGAGTCCGGTGAAAGCCGTTTGAGTTTCCTCGTGGACATTTCCCGGGAAAAAGAGTCGAAAAGGAGGGCAAATGGCGTCTCTTTGAGGAGGCCGGGACGATCGGCCGACACTCGGCCGCGCGATTAAAGGTGAAATATTTACGAGGGAATCTCTTAGGGTGCTTTCACCCGGTAAGGGACCATCTCGCCGAAGGGCCTCCGGGTCTCGGGGTTGGATTTCTCGGTTATGAATAAGAAGCGCCACGTTAAACGGCCGGGAGCCGAGGTCTCTGTCTTAGAAAAGCCCCTTCAGCGGCGCAATTAATAATGGACCAGTCAGCTGAGAATACCGAGCGAGAAAGGCTTTCGTTTGATCAACCTTCCCTCTTCTAGGCGATCTCAACCCTTTCGCCATCCTTTTCATGAACCCCGACGAGAGTCAACAGCGATACATGGCCGAAACTCTCTCGGATCCTGGTCTCATCAATTTTAGATTTGTCATATCTCGAACCTGGAACTTTGAATATTTACTTTTAGAATTTTCCAAATTTTATCCGGTGACATTTCTCGCAACAGGTGGACTCGAAATCCCTTTTTTTCTGAACGCCTTCCTTTGTTTGCGTTTTTCAGATATCGTTTGTTTATTGTG